CAGTTGGTGAGCAATTCATCCTTCTTCCTCCTCTTCCTCTCTGTTTGTTCAGAGGTAGGTTGTTGACTTGGCTCTGCCTTCATCTAGCCAGCAGCGCACTGCTCCGGAAACAAGAGGAGACCAGAGCATGAATCATGACCTGAGTCATGCATCTGCAACACCCCACTTTGTTCAGGGCCGGAGGGAAAAAATTCCTTTCCTACGTGTGGCCGTTCAGCTCGTGCAACCCGCTGGAAGGAGCTACAGACTCTGTTCATCTTCTAAAACTGCTCTCCACCGCCTGTATAGTAGTGCTTGCAAACAAAACACAAAGAGTTATGAGAAGCCTTTGCCTTTTCACACACTTGCCCACAGGCAGGCCTCTGTGCCTTAACCTACACAGCAGTGTTTTGGTGCGAGTCCCGTAGCTGGGAATGAAGTTAGTATACACGTCCCAACAAGGGCAGCTCAGCCGCTGTACGTTCACATCTTCACATACCGCAGGCTCTGTGTCATTTACACAAGACCCAAATGCTTACAGCAGTTTCTTTGGACTGAGGCTGTTTTCCATTTTGAACAATACTCTGTCGCATGGTGCTGTGTAACAAAGAATGAAAACAAATAATATTGAACAACATTAATATGCATAAATCCAAATACAGTTATTTATTTTGCACAGTGGTTTGGTAGGTGATACTGCTGTTTTCTTAAAAAAAATAAATCATGTTTAGAGAAAAAAATGTAAAACCATTTAGTTGCATTCACCATCATTAAATTGGATGAATTTCCCCATGAAATACAATTGTTCATTAGGGATTGTTGTTTCCTCTTTAAATGTGTTTTCCTGATCTCCCCAAAGTATTGCCAGCAAAGTGGGGACAGGACAGTCCTAGTGTCATTGCCATATTTGCGAGCAGTTTCTGTCTGTGCTGGATTGACTTGTTCACAGGATATTCCCATTGCTATGCGGCTACTCAAATCACCTCTGTTCCTTTACAGCTGAATCTAAGCTTGGAAACTTTTTTCAGGCTTCATTGCCTAGCTAATTGACAGCCATCCTCTGAAACATCTGTCGTAGCTGTTCTTTGGAACTAGGGCTGTCAGGCTGGTGAGGGATATATTTTGGGGAAGATTTTTTTCTAAAAGTGCCTTCCATTTCTGCTGGCCCAAGAGTCAGGAACCACTTGACTGTGCAGCTATAGAACAGCTTCACCATTTTAAGATTTTTTTTTCTCACTTATTCAGTAATATTTGCATATTCTTCAGTTGCCATCTTTCTGGTCAAAAAGCTTACCCTAAATTTTGATCTCTATCTCACTGCTTCCATTCCCACAGAACTTGGCAGATGAGGGGCAGGAAGAGATATTTTCTGAAGGGCAGGAGACACTTCCTCCGCTTTTGTAAATACTCACAGAACTGTTTCAGCATGTGGGCTATCCAGACTTCACATTACTCAGTATTTTTCCAAGCTTTCAGATTGAGTGTGTATGAGAAGAGCATTGAGAATTAAGAGTTGGGTTGTGTGTGAAGCTGAGAGATAACTTACAAGAATTTCTCCTCCATGTGAATACCTCCCCAGCTTCTAATTCAAAGAGATTTTCCTTGCTCCAATGAGCTTGGGACATACGGATCTTTTCTGCATTGACTGGTAGGCTTTCACTAGTGCTAACATGCCGCCTCTTCCAGGCTTTGTCTAGCACAGGAGGAACTAATTGTTTATTTCTGTTGAACTGGTCTTCTTGTATTTGTAATTATGCTACATCAGTTCATGCCCTGTATGCAGGAGAGGCTGGTATTTTTTCTAAAATGAAGTCATTTTTTAGATTTAAATGAGCCAATGATGAGGCATGCTTTTGTATGCAAACACTTTCCATTCTGGAACTTGTACAAACCCAGTCACCAGGCTGACTTTTGGATTCAGCTAAATGTGCCAGAAAAGCCATACATTAGTAGCTTTTTACAAAGAGAAAAAAAGCCTTATTAATGAAATGCTACCTGAGGCTAATATTTTTGGTTTATTTCTTATCCCCTGTTCATATCATTAGCTTTTCTTTTTTTTTTTTTTTTTTTTCTGTATTCTCTATATTCAAAGTTGGCTGCTCACCAATGAATTTGTTAAAGGTTGGTTGGATGACCATCATATCATTCTGTGCTATCTTTCACGTATTGTAAGTGCCAGGTATGGGGAAAAATGCAGTAAAGATTTTATCCTGTACAAATTTTATTACTTTTTAGAGAAGGACAGACCTGCATTGTTCAGTGCTGCCCATACTGAAAGATAAACAGCTGTGTTCTGCTGGGTTGTGTCATTGTAAAACCATAACTCTGTTTTAAGCAAGACCAGAATTTGCTCCAAAATGAATGTGTAGTGGCTGATAAAACCAGTAATAACTGCATTGTCTGTACTATAAACTACCATTTGTTATACCTCATTGGGCTGATGCCTCTAGTTTGAGTTAACAGAACAAGACTGTCTTATAAACCTTTTTAAAGAAAGGGAATCTTGCTGTCAGATCAAGCAGTGCCAGGACCTCAGAGGCCATCCTCCCCACATCAGCATGGCTATTCCAGATCGTGCTCTTCTAGCATTTGTGATAGCTAAAGCCAGTAAAACAGCACACTAATAGACAAACTTCCTGGTCAATTTATCTTTAGACATCATATAAGATGTTTAGTGACATTGCAAAACAAACCTATTATATCAGCGTCCTACCTAGGTTTTCTTGCCTTGCCCAAGATCTGCTCTTTGTAGATGCTATCTCCCTTCCCGGACCTCTCTTATCATCCTGTGCCCCTATCGCTGAGATTGTCAGTCCCACTCCATCCAGTCCTGTGATCTCATTGTGGGAGCTTTTAAAAGTCAAAACTAACCATGGTTCTTCTCTCCGTATATTTTCCTTTGTGTTTTTGTGGTTGTTTTGCTGTTGTCTATTCTTCCTCTGCTCTACAATCTGGGGAGGTCTGTTCTTAATAAATTGCAGAAACTTAGTTATTTTACTCAAGGCAAGGCTTAACTCAGATCTGGCAGCCATCCCATTCAGAGGCAGGCACTTAGCCTCCAGTCATGCTGTCCGTGCCAAGACCTATATAAAATATTACCACACAAACAAATGGAGAACTGATGCTATCAACCCGAACTTGTAAGTTTTATGTAGGTTGTATTATTCTTTCTGCACTAAAAAGTTTGATATCTTGAATCTAAAAATAAGCCTTTACTAAGTGCCAGCTGTTCAGCTGGCTGGTCCTTAACCTGGGAGGCTTCTGGTGTCTTTTGGTGGCTGAAGGACTGTCATCAAGTCCTTTGAGTGTAGGCTTTGAGGTGTTGTTATATTACCAGGGGCTAGCGAGAGCTGCAAAATGAACTTGTACATTGAAAGGGCAAGCACTAGTTCTCAGAGTTCTGCAAGGCTGTAGGCATAGCAACAGCAGTATAGGATGTACACACAAATGTAAATTAAAGACGGGGAAATAAAATGTGTTGGATGGCTCTTATAGGAGGATTTTTTTCTTTGTATGAGCAAACATTTACAGTCAACTCCACTTCATTTTGACTTTCTGTAGTTATGGACATTGTCCTCATAGACCCGTGTTCTCACCAGCTAAGGGAACATAATCTAATTGATGCTGTTTTCATGCCACAAGGAATTGTTGTAGGTGAACACATGATTCACAAAGGATACTCTAAGGTATAGAAAGCAGTTGAAGGAAACTTAAGAATTTACTGTTGTAAATAGAGATGTTAGGATGTGGTTCCACAAGAACCTAAGCTGGGCTAAATTCAAATTATCATGCTGGCACCTTCCCTGTCAGCTCTGCCTGCCTTTCCTCTTCCTTCTCCTGAGCCGGTGCTCACACTGGGCTGGGCAGTGACACAGCTCAGGGGACCCACCCAGGGGAAGATTAGCCCCCCAGCCTTCCCTACAGAAGGTGCTTGGCTTTTAATTGGATCAGGCTGAATCAGCTCACTGCTTGTTTGGACATCCGTAGTGGTAAGAGCGAAGGGGTGTGAGCAGGGCAAAGGTAGGCTTGACGTAATCCAGTTTGAGCTGCTACGAAAATACCCATAGACTGTGTAAATACTAGTAAAATCGGATGTATCTGGGAATATTTCCAGGCACTAGAATGAGATTCTCTGTGCTATTAAACTGTTAAAATGCTCCCTGGCATGAATTTGACCTCTTCCAATTAACACTCCCTGCAAACAATTTCTGGGCACATTTTGGTTGCTAGAATGGTCCCAATAGGCAATTTGCAAGCATAAACTCAGGTCTTTCTGTGCCAGTTGGCCTCAATGCCCAGGAATGTTTCCAGGCATGTTGAGCTTACTAGTATAGACCTATCCCTACTGTCACATCCTGCCCCAAAATTGCAGCTACCACCAGGTTTGAAAAGGGAGGTCTGATCCTGCCAGTTCTCATGGTGAGAGCAGCTTAGGTTTTTTTACAAGCTAGCTTCACAGCTTCAGTAGGATTCTGACTGTGGAAAAAAAGGATATATGCTTTTAGGGTAGATCAACAACACAACTGATGAAATATTAATTTTATACTTCAGTGTGTAGAGTCAGTTGCGAACTCTTAAGATAAAAGAGGACTTATCCTGAGCAAATTATTTTCAAAACAGAAAATAGCAAAGCATAAAAGATGTGAAGAGATGATATCCAGAAATAAGAAATTTTATTTCCTTTAATAATGCAATAATGCAGTAAGAAAGGCATATTTTCCCTTCATTCCAAGGGGTGGGGAGGAGTAAAAACTTGTTATGTTGTTGTATCCGTGCTGTACTGCCATAGAATATTTAGGCACTTACTACACAGAATTGAAGCTGAAGTGATTTTTTTCAAGTCGGTTGCAGAACTGGGAATACAATTACTCCTTCCTCTACATATTAAAAAATCCACGACTGCAGCATTTCCTTTCCACTTTGCAATGTTAATAAAATAAAGGTACTCTGTATCTTGAATTACCAAGATCCAGGTCCTCAATTATAACAATTGATTGCTTTTTTTTTTTTTTTTTTTGCAGTTGCCTTTACAAGTTTCCCTCCACACCAGGGAATCTGAAAAAATGGGATTTTTACATCTCTCCAGGTATATTTACTTAGCAATCGTACAACCTGTCTGCCTAACACACTCTCTCAGGGAACAATTAAAGGAGTTATTTTAGAGGAGCATTTTAGAGTTCCTGTATATGCCAAAAACGCTCGCTTGGATGGCTTGCTCTAGGACCCAGAGTGACTGCAATTGACAGAAGTCTTCACCTGAATGAATTTTCCTTCTGATTGTATACCTTATAAGGAGTACAGGAAAACAAGGAAGTGATAACCATGTTCAGGTTACTTTTATGCAAAGCTTGCCGTCTTTACCTGCCCAGGTAGCTGTTGTTTTTATTTTCATTCATGTTCTGCCCTCATAGGTTTGAAGATTCCTCGCAGTCCAGTGTAGGTGACTTCTTAAAACGTACGCTTTGGGAATGTATGGATTTTATGATGTTCTGTCTTCCCACAGACGATAAATAACATGTTAATATTTTTTGTCACACAGCCAGCACTGAAAACGAATGGGGATTGAATTGCTTTGCTTCTTTTTCTTATTTCTGCAAAGAAATAACAATGTTCAAGGTAAGACTCCGGGGCAGTGGGGTCCATTTCTAAACCATTTTTGCTTTGTTTCTTGCTTTAAGTTGATACTAAATAGCTTTCTGTCTTCTGTTTTTAATCACTCCTTTCTCTTGGACGACTGGTGTTTTTTTTTTTTGACATACCGCTGTAGGGCAACCCTGTGAATTCATTTAAGATTTATGTGGTCATTACATAGCAGAACATGTAAAAGAGACAGGCATTTGAGCAATTGTGGTTATACTAATCAATGTCTGAACTGAGAAACTTAATACTGTGTATGTGACTGAATGTTTCACCAGTACTTGCACAATAAATTAAAATCATATCATGTATCTACAGATGTTGGTGAAGCAATGTTAAGTATATACAGTGAATGTGCATAATTTTGTGGTTTTAGTATCTCTGGTTATGTTGCCAATGTTGTACGTGCCCTATACCAGAAACAAATATAAAGTTTTATCAAGTGCCCTCGATCAAACAAGTAGCATGTTCTCATTGAATACACATCTATAAAGCATGAAAAAGCAAGTATGTTAATTGTCAGTAATTGTATTGTTTTTCCGGAGAGTTAATATTCTACCAATAGAAACATCTTTATGAAATAACTTCATCAGTAATCCTGAATATGGCTAAATGTGTGCATTTTTCACTTCCCACATTCTCTAACTAGCCAGATTCATCATAAGCTGAATGATTAAGCACATTATTGACAGTCTTTTGTCTTTTTTTATTTAAATTTAGGGACCTGTTCTCAGGAAAGTGCAGTGACTTGTGAAGATTGTGTGCTTTCCGGACCACACTGTGCTTGGTGTTTCCAAGAGGTAGATGATACAAAAAATTTCAAAGTAAAACTTGAAATGTTTGTAGTAGCTCTGAGTGATTAAGTATTGACTTAATTGGGTTAGTCTGTGGTTTTGTAATGCATGCAGTGCTTTGTGAAGCCTTTCTGAGGATCAAAAGTGGAATTCAAATATAGACTTTAAGCTGTATTATTCTCTTTTTTTAAAAAACTTCCCCATCTTAGGCAGAAATAAAAGTGCTTTTAGAGGGGCTCAGGTCATCAGCCACAGGGCTGACTCACTCAGAGCACTAAGGATGAAGCATCAAATACTAGACCAGACTGCATCTTACATTATATCATCATATACCAATTCAGGCAGTATAAACAGAAAGTACTTCAGTCAGTCAGTTTGCATATACAAATTGTCAATCTTATTATCAAAATAAGTGTTTGCAAAATAGTTAGCTATCATAATTAAAAACTTGCCAGAAACAAGAGAGAAATAAAATAATGGTAGTTTCTAATTTAAACTTTTGTTGCTATTGCTAATCAGCAAGATGATATATAGGATGGTGCTAATGTGCTGCTGCATGAAGTATCTTACAAAGATCAAAAAGTACCTTTTTTTAAAAAAAAAAAAGTTTGCTAAAAATAATTTAGCAATTCACATGTAATGTTTTGTGGAGGTGAGGGGAAATAATAATTTTTTAAAAATATTTTTTTTTCAGTAGTTTTTGCTTGTACTTAACAACCAAAACAAATTTCATTTCAAGTAAAACCTGATCACGTGATTTCAACTATTACCTTTTTTTTGTTTGTTTGTTTTAAATCTCTACAGGATAAAAACACATTGTCTAGCTATATTTTAAATATTAGTTTGCTTCTGCAAACTAATATGTTCTAAAAAGCCAGCAATTCAAAGTGTGTAACTGCAGGAGATATTCTCCCTGCAAAATTTTTGGAATCTTACATGATCTCTGTGTGTGCTGTAATTCAGAAGCAATTGGTGAGTCTTCTCCAGGCAAAGACATCAGACTTGGTCTGAAGCACAATAAACCGCTGCTCCCACCAGGTGTCTCAGTGTTGCTTCCACAAAAATACACAAGATCTTTGAAAATTTTCATCCATGAAGGATGAAATTTTGGTTGGAGAGGCCAAGTTCTGTTTTTAATAAGTTTAAAGTAAATTTGTTTTGCTTTGGATAGGGAGTTTCTGAGTTACTGAATTCAGAGAGTATTTGTGGTGTAGTGGCTGAACCCAAGATTGCTTATCCAAACCTGGGAGAAAAGAATGGTCCCATGCTTTGGGCCTGTGACCATAAACCAGGTGTTGAGCATTTTGGTGCCAGTTCTGCCAGGCATTTCACGGGTTTTGACCAAAAAGCCTTTTGGGCCAGAGTGGTTTCCAGCTCAGGATGCAGCTGACTGATTCTGCAGATCTAAATTCTAGACATAACTCTAGGAAATGCTAATAAGGCACAGAAGCCTCTTTGTAAAACTAACCATTAACTTCACTACTACATGGGGATAATACCCACCTTACAGTGTTGTGGAGAAGAATGCATAACAAGTGTTTTGAAATGAGGAAAAAAAAATAAACTGCAAGATATCTAAGTGATATTGATAGGCTTGTGGTTCCCTCTGTGGGGGAGAAGGTCAAAGAGGGTGCTGAGCCAGATGTGAGCAGACAGATGTGAGCACAGCAGGAGCCCAACGAGTGCTGGAGAGCAAGAGGAGCTGTGGTGCTTGCTGGGCACCAGTGAGGGTAATGAGGACATTCCACCTGCTTCAGTGAATGAGTAAAATGAGTGTTGAGGAGAAAGAGAAGGTCAGAAGGAAACAAAGTGATCAGTGAACTCTACGCACCCCACCTCCAGTTTCTCAGAAAATGTGTAGGAGTTTATTATTTGCTTTTGTGTTATTAAATATTCCACCAGCAGTTCAAACACTGTTTAGGAATTTGTGGCATAGTCCTGTAAGTGATTTCCTTAGGGGAAAAGAAAAAAAAAGCTCACAGGGCTTTTGTGTTCCCATTTGCAGTGCTGAGAGAAGCCAAATGTAAGTGGCACAATTCCCATTCCCCAACAATAGAGCAGTTTCTTCCAGGACACCAGACTGGTGTAAGTTACATTAATTATACACCTGTGAGACATGACCCATGAAGGGCAAATTTAGCTTTCTATGCCACCTAGTTCTCTTTCTGCACTAGTCTGCACTTACTGTATAATATAACTTGCACCTTTTGTTTCTGGTTCCCCTGCATTGGATTGACCTTTTGTCAGCCAGGTGCTGGTGGCCAGTCAGTAAATACATTTAACTCATCCATTCCTTTTCCTGTTTGCTTTAGAATTACACCGACTCAGCTGGAATTCATGGGAGGTGTGATACCCCAGAAAACCTTTTATCAAAAGGATGCCAGTTGAATTTTATTGAATTTCCCATTTCAGAAGTGGAAATTCATAGAAACGTGCCACTAACTGTATCGACCCAGAAGAACAATTCCGATGTCACGCAGATTTCTCCTCAAAAATTAACTCTCAAACTGCGACCAGGTAAATCACTCAGTTCATAAATACAGGATTTATTTTTTTCTGCTGATATACTGAGATACTGCGATATACTCAGACTGAATGGTGTAAAAAAAATCTTGATAAAAGACAAAATACTTTTGTTGAGTCCAAAATTATCTGTCATTTGACTCGTCAAATGAAATCTATGTTCGGTTGCGTTCAAAATCCTTCAGAAGTGCTGGGTATATCATAAAAAAAGGATTTAATTTTTAGTTCTTGTATTCTCTGTCAATTAAGGTGTCTTTGAGAGAATGGAAAGCCCCATACCTCTCCAGCCCTGTTTTTGTTGCCTCTCCCTCTGCAGGTCTGACAAATAGCATATCTCAGATGCAGTATAAAAACCTTGCCTTGAGGATTTACAAGGTACTAGCGACATTTATGGAAGTACTCCAGACCTACTCTGGGGTCCATGAGATGTGTATTTTTCATGGAGAAAATTTGGAATAAAGAAACATAAGAAACATCCAGTTAGGTCATACTATGTGATTACAATTGCATGTTGCAATTGAGAATAAAACCTGGTGTATGCTCTATTTTTCTTTGGCTTTCTAACATACATGGCATGTTCCATAAGTGCTACCTCCAGTTTTAATTATCTTCCTATCTGAATTTTTCTGCATACTGCCCAAAAGATGTTCTTATATTTTATATTACAGCAATCAGTTGTAGTCCATGGCTACGGCCTTACTAAAGAACAGTTTAGAAAAACACTAGAACAGCTCTAATTTTTCAGACAATCAATTTGAGATTTTTGTTGCCAGGGAATTATTTTCTTAATTGTACTGATGATTTCAAATGCTAAATAATTTTAAGTATATGTATAAGTTTATGAACTAACTGACATTGTTCGTAATTTCTACTTAGAAGTACTAAGATGTATCCCATTTTCCCATGACCTTCACAGGACATGAAGAAACAATACAGATCAAGGTTCGCCAAAGTGAAGATTATCCAATTGATCTCTATTACCTCATGGATCTATCAGCTTCCATGGATGATGATTTGAATACAATAAAAGAGTTAGGGTCAACTCTTTCCAAAGAAATGTCAAAGCTGACAAGCAACTTCAGGCTGGGTTTTGGATCTTTTGTTGAAAAACCAGTTTCACCATTTATCAAAACTACAGCTGAAGAAATAAACAACCCTTGCAGGTAGGCAGGGAAAGTACCTGCATCTGTTTGCATGCCAACATTAAGTCATAATGTTAATCTTGAGGGTAAAATCCAATTTAACAGCCTCACTGGAATCTCTTCTCTATTCTAGTAGTAACTGAGTCAGTTTGGGAAACAAGATTTGATTCTTTTAATTTCATACTCTGAAACTGTTGCATCTTATGTTATTTAAAGAGAGGAATTTGGATTAGCAAATAATAATTGATTAGCAAACAGGTATTCTATATATATACATACACATATATATACATATACATATATATATATATGTATATAAGATTTTTATGACACTGCTATCCTAAACAGATTCACACTCATACCCAGCATGGAATAGCAATTTCATTCATTTACCCGTCAACATTGTTTTCCTGTTTTTGTTTTCTGTGTTTTTCCTTGAGGCCTATCAGTATCCTCTAAACCTGTGCTGCTCCAGTCCTTTCTTAATCTACAAGGAGGAGAAGATGGCTCTCCAGCCTTCGCTGCTCTGCAGTCTGAAGCAGAAATGGAGAAGCCTAATGGTATCTTCTAAATGTCATTAAGGGACTACAGATCCTAAGTGCTTCTGAGTATGAAAACAAAATGTGGCCGGGAGCACAGCAAGGACTGCATATTAACTGGCTAAATTACTCTGCTTTAGGTGGCATTTCCTGTGCTTTATGAAGGCTTGTGTGCAACCCAACTGAGTGTATCTGTGCTCTGTGATTCTCTTATGTTTTTCACTGGACTTATCTCAGACACAGAAGAGAGATGCATAACCAAAAATTAATTGAGACAGGCCTGCAAAGTAGCCATTGTAGTCATTTTCTCTCTGCGTCATCCATAAACTGTCTCATTTCTTATGCAGAAGTGTACCATATGAGTGCTTACCCACCTTTGGATACAAACATGTTCTGTCACTAACAAATGATGCTGAAAAATTCAATGAAATTGTGAAAGGACAGAGAATCTCTGCTAATATAGACACTCCAGAGGGAGGATTTGATGCAATTATGCAGGCAGCTGTTTGCAAGGTAATTGAAAATTGTAGGTATGATGTTAGTTATTCTGTATGTTTCCACTTCCACTATTGTGTGCTTATATATCAAATAAGCAGATCATTATTTTTCAAGATTTTTTTAATGCAGTCCAAGAGTCTCATTAGGTTTGTGTGAAAATACTTTTGGCTGTATCAAGTTAAACATGCATATTGCAATATTTTAGTATTTCTTTGTAATTGCCAGGGATAATTACTGGGTCTGTTTTCTTGATTGTTTTTTCTTTAAATATTTTTGATTAACTATGTTTAGAGTAGTAAGCAGATTGAATTGAACATGGCCAGCATATTTTAATAAACATGAGACTGGGAATACAAAATGTTAGCCAAAGACAATAGAATGAACACCAACATCTTTTTCAAGATAATGACACTCAGTCGTACAACAGATGATGCGATGTGTTTGATACACCTTTTAAGATGTTTCCCTTCATTTGTTTTGAGATGCCATTCTCTAAATCTTTTGATGCTTTCCTGTTTGTGAATATAATACAGCCTGCTAAACTAATGTATTTTAAATTACAGGAAAAAATCGGATGGAGGAATGATTCTCTGCATTTGCTGGTGTTTGTGAGTGATGCTGATTCCCACTTTGGTATGGACAGTAAGCTGGCAGGGATTGTTATTCCTAATGATGGAAACTGCCATTTGGACCACAATAATGAATATTCCATGTCAACTGTTCTGGTAATTTGCTATGAACTTTGTATAAGTCTTGCATTCTGTAGAAGTTAAAGATAAATTTAAATAAGCAGATTTAAAAGCCAGTGAAAGTATACCTTTATCAATGAAGTTTGTAAAATTTGTGGAATCCAGACATTTACCATTATCTTTATTAGTAGTGGCAAATTTTTGTAAAGAGAGAACAATTTGTTTGTATGGAATTATGATAGATTATAACTGTGAAAGAAAAAAAAGCATGTATCTTGTTCCTGATAACCTGGAAAACACATGGGACATGACTGACTAGTATTTCCTCATACAGGGAATTTTGTCATACTCATTAATCTTGTTCCCTGTATGGGTGTGAATTCAGGAGGAGTTCAGAAAGCTTTAGGACACTGTTCATGTAAGAAAATTTCCCAGATTAAGATGCAATAACTAGTACAAATTCCAATTTCCTTTGGCACAGTGTTGTTATTCAGTCTGTATCACAGATGCTCCTGAACCCAGTGCCCCAGTGTGGAGGTCAACACTGTACTTTTCTCAAAGAAACTTTCTTAAAATCAAGGCAAGGAAATTACATACACTTTTATTTTGTATACACCTTCTGCCCAACTGTAGTTTATTTTATGCTAATAATATAGTATTAATTATGTTTGGTTGACTGTGTTTCATAGGAGATAATTAGCAACTGGATATGTGAAAAATGCACTGATGTGGCTCACTTCTGTTTGTTTTCAGGAGTATCCCACAATTGGACAATTAATTGACAAACTTGTGCAAAACAATGTTTTATTAATTTTTGCAGTAACAAATGAACAAGTTCACATATATGAGGTGAGAAAACTAAAATGTTCAGTTCTTTAGTATTTGCTTTACGGTTCACTGTTTTTCATAGCTAATATAATAATTTCAGTAATAAGGATACAATTCTTCAAGGTATTTATGTAATAAAAATATCTAGGAAATTATATATCAGAGTCGTAGAAAGGCTCTTTTACTTGGAAAATGCTTCTGCACATACTGATTTTGAAGTTCTTATGTAACTTTCAATTTGGATTTAAAGTTGAATCACTCTGCAGTTTTTAAGTTGATAGACAAGGACTGTCAAACTAAGCATTTCTAAACTATTCAGTGTAATCAGCATGATTAAATTTCTGTATTTTGTGAGGCTAGGTAAGGATAGTTGAACCTATTAATCCTTTTATAAAACAAGAATACATTCTGAAAATGAGCATCTTCATGTTCAACTCTGAGATAATTCTTTTTGTTCAGCTGACCTGAGAATTTTATTTATTTTTCTTTCAGTACATAACAGTACTGTTTTCTGTTTCTATTTTCCTATTCTCTGTCCTCGAGAAGGCCCTCAGTGCTTCTGTGATTGGTTCCAGTTGTAGAGTTGTTTCGAATAAGGATAATTCTCCACGTGTTGGACAAAAGTTATAAGAGTGAGATCTTTCACAAACTGATTCTCAGATTATAACCTTAACAATGGAGGAAGCACTTTTCATCTTGGAGCATTTTTTAAAAACATACTGAGTTGTGAGCTGAACAGTGAAAATTCAAATCAGTAATAGTAGAAGGCAATCACTTCCAAGTTTAGTGGGATTCTACAGTCATAGCATAGCATTGTTAAAATTTGTGCATTAAGAAACTTTTACTAAATCTTATTGTTCAACCATTTCTTAATAAGGGCCCGATTTATGAGAAGTGAAATATTTACACTAATTTCAATAGGTGCTACACAACTAAGGACTGTTCTAGAAGGTAGTTCAAAAGAGTCTTTGATTTACAGAGCCTTATTTTATCCAAAGAAACTTTTATTTTACTGATGACATTGTATTTTCCCTTGGAAATTACTGGTGGTCACCCTCAGAGTTGGCCAACAGTGTTCTTATCAGGGGTTTTCTATTTCAGTATCCTTGTGTCAGTGTTATACCAGTATCAGTTATCAAGTGGCACCCTTTGTTCACTGGGAACACTAAAAGAAGATTTATACCTTACAAAAAAATGCAAGTCATTGTTAAAGCAACTGTAGAATTTTTTGTTCTTGTTACTTTCTTTCTTAGAAAAGAAAAAAGCTACTATCTCCTATCTTGTAGGATAGGAGAATCTTGTATATAGGAATCCTATTGAATATATTCTATCTGCTACTTTCATCTTTTCAGCACTGCTTTCTGCCACTTAATTGGATTTCTGTAGTTGTTATGCTCTGCTTTCTAGTCTGTAGATGTAAAAAATCCAACAAAGCAAATACAAAAGTCAAGTCTCACGGTGCCTTTTTTAAAACAAAACAAAACAAAAACATAGTATACTTTCAGGGGTGTATGTAGGACATGCAAAAGGGACTCTAGCATCATGTTTTCATCTGCATGATTCAAATTTATAAACGTAAACATGCAGTCATCTGTGCTTAAGAGTGCAAAATGAATTAAGCAAGGCAATAAGATCTATTATTGTCTTAAGGCCAGTGTTCACATGGCCTGGAAGAGCTGGGAGAGGAGACTAAACTGGCATTTGGGTGTCACCATTAAACCCCTCTTTTAAAAAAAAAAAAAAAAAGCCTTAGTGATGAGGATTCTGCAGTTTCCCATATTCTCTCATATTAAAAAAAAAACATCCAAGCTTAATTATCATTTAAGGTAGAAAGCTTCTTTAGATATTTTATCTAAAATCTACTTGAACTCAGCATCTAATTATATCAGACCCAAAATTGACTGCTCTTATTTATAATTCAGTTATTGGAGACAAATGTGCATTAAAACGACTGTGAGGACTTAGAAAGCATCTTTTTAAATAGACTTGATAGATTCCAATAGTCTTAAGTGCAGTGTTCAGACTGGCTAATATATATTTTATATTTCTAGCCCTGTGTAATCTTCAATGGTTTAGCCAAAAAAAATTTGGTCACTTAATATTCTTGATCCTCTTCAACTGAATTTTCAGTTTATTCACTTAAATATGTACATCTTACCTAACATAAAAATATTATGGATTGCATGAGCACAAAATATATATCCCTGTAATACAGCTGGTTTTAGTTTTGATCCTCCCATACGACCATACAGCTACTTTCCTTAAAAGAGGGGGAAGTTTTAGGTCTGAAGCTCTCCCTGTCAAGTTTGTCATGTTTTGCCTGATCACAAGAACTTTAAAAGCAGTCATGTGGAAACATTTGTAAACCCACTCAAAATTAAATGCAAGAAAGTGGAGGAAGGTCCTTACACTGAGCCCTGATCATTTGAGATTTTATTTATAAGAAAAGATTTTTAAAAAAAAAAAGTATATTCCTTTAAAATACATTCATGTCTAATGTTTCGTATTGTTAGTTTCAACTGAGTCTTACCAAAGAAACAGGGAATATACTTATTTAAAAAAAAAAACAAAAAAAAACAACACTATTCACTTACAAAGTATCTGTGAATATTGCAATTACAATGACATTTTGTACCAAAATAGGATTTACAGTTCATCAAAAGAAAACACTAGTCTTCAAGGTTTCATCAAGTAATTATTGTTGTTGATATTATTTGTTTTCAAGCAGAATTCTTAAAAAAAAATATTCAAACTAGTTGAGTGAAAACATTCTCTCTTTAATCCTAACTAAGATCACTGCTGAAAAAAGCAGAAATTACTCTTTTTTTAAAAAATATTTATTTTTATATCACAGGAGAATACAGCTTGAAACTTGATTTATTTCAGATTGTATTTCAGTGCCTAAAATTGAATTAAAAATATTAGTCTCCAAACTTATTCAGAATTGCAAATGTTTTGTGTTTTTTTTTTTTTTTAATAAATTTGGCATGACACTTTATGCGGAAAATCCTCCTGTCATTTACACTGCTAAAAGTTAAACATAGCCCCACTGAACTAAAACATGTAAGTCTCAAATTGCGTTAGCATGAATGAGAGAATCTCTAGAAAAAGGCAGTTCATCTTTTGATGAATATTTGCTTAAAGACTAAATTCAATGGCATCCTTTGGATAGTTTTTGGTGGTAGCACTCCAAAAGCATCAGTATGCCTCATCCTGTTAATGGTTAATAGAAATTGTGCTAAAAAGTAGGGTTTAACCAATGAGCTGGAGATTCACACTTAGACTGGGAATGCACCATCATCTTTGTATTAGAATGCAGCAAATTTTTCTTCAACAGGAGATAAAGTCTTCAGAACAGGATATCCCCACTGTTTGATTTGCATGCCACAGATTAAAGGATGCTAGACCTTAAATTCCAAGTCTATTGTCTTTTTTTTTTTTTTTTTTTTTTTTTTTTTTTTTTTTTTTTTATTAGCGGCTCATGGAAGGTCCACGTTTACAAAATGGAGACTTTCAGTACTCTCAGAAGAGTACTTGAGAGAGCACTACTCACAAGAGAAGGCAGGAATGTAAAGTCACCAGCTGTAACATAAAATGTAGTTAATCCCACTGATTTACAATAGCACTTCAGAAATCTAACGAATGATAAGTATTCCATACATAATGTATAAAGTAATCACTGTGTTTTTGGAGATGTGAAGTATAGGGCGATATAAGAGTATCAAATTATCCATGTTTATTAATAGTTATCTGGAATTTTTTAAATTAAAATAACAGCATTGATATTATGATAAATTAGAGATGAAAACGAATGTTACAACATGTGCTTTTAACTATGACCATTTACTATTCTCAAAAGGCATAGGTACAAACAAGTGAAATTAATGTCGTTAATAATCAGGCAAGATTTTAATCAAGCATAGTTAGAGTCTATCTGCTAGATGTCATTTTAGTGTCAGAATACAATTTAATGAAAAAAAAAAAAGGAACACTTAACACTGAAATAAATTCTTAAATTGGCACTATATTATTAACATAAAGACAACATACAATCACTCGTAGCCCCTGATCACTGGAAAATGTGGGGGGTGTTACAGCAATCAGAAACCAGCAGCAGTTTTTTAAGGGTCTTTGTTTGAAGTTCTTGTAACTCTTAGTTGAAACTTCTTAACTTTTGTGCATTCGCTAACAAGATTCCAAGATTCTGGGTTGCTTGCAAGGACAAAAAAAGTGACTGCTGTCATTGAATGTAGGGTTCAAGACTCAAATATTATAGCAACAGTTGAGCAGCTGAATCTCTTCTTTTGTTTAGTTTTAGTTTTAGTTTTTAAAAAACGCAATGGTTGAAAGAACCATTCTATCAACAGTTAAGAATTTAAAATTTAGATTTTTTTCATTCTAAATTTTAAAAAATATAGCTAAAATACTATAGCATCAAACTCCCAAGCACACTTAGCAGTTCCTGTCCCACTAATTGTCAGTGAAACTAACGCTTATCAATAGAACATTTACTAATATGACAAGTGTGTTATTGAGTCGGCAAGAGTCCTTGAAAATGTGACTATTATTTATTTCAGTTGCCTCCAAGGTATTACATTCTTTTTCAGGTGGTAGCTCCTTGTCACCTACCTTATCATCTAGTCTTTTTTTATGTTTAATTTTTTTAAATTTTTCATGTTTTCAGAACTATGCAAAGCTTATTCCCGGAGCTACTGTTGGACGACTGCAGAAGGATTCTGGAAATATTCTTCAGTTGATAATTGCTGCATATCAGGTAAGGTGTTTATAATGTGTTTTCTTCCTGCATGTCTGTATTTTCAAAGTCAGATTGCAATTTGGTAAATACAGAAGTATTCTATTTTTTTTTTTCTGCACTGATTACAAGAACATAATTTTTTGTGCTTAGTTGTTGACCTATCCTGTAAAGGTTTTGTTCACCCTGAGGATTAAGTGAACACAGAAACAGTAGTTTTACTTGTAAAACTTTAACTCGTTACGCTCTACTGAAATGCTTAGTTAACCAAATTAAATTTTGACTTCCTAAGCTACAGAGTGAATGCTTTGGCAACGTTCACTCTGTAGTTTAGAAAGTCAAAATTACGATTTATAAATTGTTGTTAAAAATCGGGATTTAGAGCCACAACAGTAAGACACCAGCATTGGTCATGCAATTCGCTATTAACTTCTGTTAACTTTTAGCTATCAAACTGTCACCAGGCAAAGCAAATGGGACACTGTATGTAACTGGCACTTGCTTTTGCTATGCAGTGCACTATGGAGAGTGACTGAGAGATGGTAGCATGTACCATGGCATAGGCTGCTTTATAGCAGTGCTTTGCTGAAAGCTTCTTTTATAGGTTTATCCTGGATTCTGCATGCTTTAGTAGGGTTTATTTCCAAAGTCTGTTAAATCTCCATTAACCAGTGATATCACAATCACTTAAGGTTGAGTGTTCTGTTACTTAGAACTATATCCATATAGTTCATGGTTTTCCAAACAGAATTCCCATAAATTTTTGTCACTCCTTACTTGTGTTGGAATGCTGAACTCACATTAGTATGTCATCTGTCTTGCCTTTCTCATAATCCTCTATTTCATGCTTACTCTAAAGCCTTCTTTAATTCAGGTCTTCCAGTTCAATACTTGTGCAGGGACAGCTCTCTTCCTATCGGTAACTGTCACTGGAGTGTAGATCCAATAGTTCTGCAGGAATATGTGGCAGAAAAAAGCACCATTCTGTGATCAGTGCTGTTTTCTGCTTTAGCAATTTGATGCTGCCCCTGTGAGGCTGTTCTGAGGTTTTAAAAAAGCAGAACATAGGAGATAAGAGAAGACTTGACTGTGTTTGTTTAGATAATACCAAGAAAGACTGTAAAGAGGACAGGAACATAAACATAGGGCTGCTCTTCGGAGTTGCATTTGTAAAATGCATCCTTGCTGCCTGGCTCTCTTCTTTCAGAGGAATATTTTTTAGACAGTTTTACATGTTTTCACAGAGATCTATACACTTACTCATATGATGATATGCCACAGATATCATCATATCAGGTGAGAGTCTTCACTCTCACCCTCCTTTTCATTAAAAACCTGCTCTAACAGCTAGCTGTAATGAAAAATAACTCTTTGCAATGAACATTTTCTATTTCTTTCCCTACTGTGTTTTTTTTTTTTTTTTTTTTTTGTTTTTACTTTCTTTAAAAAAAAATTGTTTGTTTTTCTGTCTGATGTTCCTTCTCTGATCTGCAGCATAAGACCATCATTATTATGCCCCAAAATTATTTTGGTACTGATGACAGAATAGCAAAGCAAACCAAATTCTTTTAAGTCTTTTAGGAACAATAAAATTGGTTGGTTATGATTTTAAAATGAAATATAATATACCAGAAGACTCTCTATCACATGTAAAATTAGATAAGTGAAGAACATTAAAGTTGGAAGAACTTGGAAGTCTATTAATTGTAACAAGTATGAGGCGAAACTTTTGCAGAAGTTACCTCTAAACATCCAGTAGCACCAGAATTTCACTTCTGGAGTCTAACCTGTCATAAGTCACATCTGCCTCCTATCAGGATTTCTTCAGGGTGATACTCTAACTTATAGATAGAGGTTACTATTAGCTGAAATTTTGTCCAGTGAGTAATGGAAAATGTAAATAATTGTCCCAGTGTTGTGTCTTGGAGACTTTGTTTTAACAATGTGTTAAGCACAGAACAGTGCTTCCTTTAATTCTATTCTTATAGTCTCTTCTGTCTTGCTAGAAGCTGGGAAGATATATATCTAGATATATAGTGTCTTGGTCATGTATGCTGTCTATGATTTTTTTTTTCTACTCCCCTGTTTGAACCTAACGATACTTTCTGTCTCCAACACCTCCTGTGGCAAAAAGGAGTTCGGTTGCTCGCTCCCAACTTCAGCCATGCTGTGGGCAGGGTCTGGAGGAGGTTACAAGCTTGATGCTTGGTCCTCTTCAGTCATGGCAGGAAGGCAGTTGCTCCTTCTCTTGGCTTCAGGTCATAGCTCATCATGTCCTAGAGCAGGTACTGGACTATCCACCAGAGTTGCTTATAGGTTCTTGAAGTCCCATATAGGTTTCAAAGTGTACAAACTGTACAAGTAGCAACAAGTCACACTTTCAAAATTTCCCAGAGCCCATTTTATTGCATTTAACCTTAAAGGTTAACAACCTTATTGCTTCATGATTGAAAGTCTTCCAGGCAGGAAACACTGAAAAACACCTTATTTGACATAAGTGAAGACATCTGAATTTTTGGAGCGGGAAATGGGAAATGAGGGTAGGCCTATGGTTAAAAATTACATGTGGAATAGAAAATCTAATTCCAATTTGTCACAGACCTTTTATGATACTCATAGAAGTGTAATTCAATTCCCAGTGTTTCTGTTTCTTTAACTACAAAAAAAAAAAAAAGGAATAACTAACTATTTGCCCCAGAAGAGTAGTGTTAGGCTAAATCTTTTAACAGTTTTAAAGTGCTCTAGAGTCTTTGCTGTACAAGCACAAGGTTTGTTAATATCATTTACCATGCGTTGCTATCTCAAAGCTTCAGAGAGGAAGTAAGCAAGTTAAGAAAGTCTGAGCTGTCAAAATATTTGTTACAAGGAGTTCTCGTGTTCTTTCCAAGTATGATTCATTTTCTTCTGAAAGCATATTTCTGACTGCTTTATTTGACATTAAATTCTGTATAGCTTTGTATTGCAGAATCATAGTCTATCTTGCATTGTGGCACATATCAGGCCTTTTGATTGAAGTTATTCCAGGATTTTAAAATTTTAGAAAAATTTCATTCCACAACCCCCCCACTCTGTCATCCCCCCACTGCTTTGCTCCCTTTTAACTTATGGGATAATAACACAAAAGAATAATATGTTAAAACAGGACAGATAACACAAGGGAACGAGTTTGAAACACTGTTTTCTCTGTTGATTCATTCAGAAAAATTTTTGAACTGCAAACTTTTCTTTGTGAATGGCTTAAAGCTCACTAAACTGCTTGCTATTTGTCCCTAGACAATGGCCAGGCAGCTTAGTAGATTTAAAACACCATTAGAAGTTCCCACAGATATAGATCTAAGAAAATGGAGTTTATCACAGTTCATGCATCCATTTTCAGTGGATTAAGGTGTGTGTTTGGACGTCTCACAACAGCTAAGGGAGGCATGTTCATGTTGACCTGGCACAAACAACACGATTTAATGTATTATGAATTTGTGTTCAGCAGCATTGAATTTTCTCTCATAGCTGCGCTCTATCTGAGCCTCGTAGTTTTGCAGCAGACAGAAGAGGGAATATTTGGTGATATATCCTATAATGTTAACACATTACCAACTTTCACATTTTTATCTTAAGGCTTCCTATATTTAGTCATTTTGTGAGAGTCCAGCTATTGCAAACAAATCATTATCTAAGAATCTCTGCATTGTTTTGATAGCAACATGAGCACTGTACTCCAAGACAAATGTGAGGGGAAAATTGGACACATCCACACAACATGAATAACCCGATGCCCAGTGCAGTTTTACTGCTCTGGATGCATGCTGGAAAGAACACCGGGTATTATGTGAATAGATCTCGTGTGATAGATGTTGCTATCCTTTATTAAAGTGCTATGGTTTACTGACAAGGTTTTCCAAATAAAAAGGAATTTGAAAACAAAAATGAACCAAAAATCCAGCCACGACTGTAAGATGAACTTCCAGAGAATCCAGGATGTTTGGAAAGGACAGGGAGTTTTCTATGCAGGTCTGTAACTATTCTACTTTTAGTTTCGGGTAGTGTCATTGTTTTCACCCCACTAGACCTTTACTCCAGTGAATCATCCTGATGCCTTTACTAGAGTGACTCACTGAGGTAAGGTCAGCAAGATCCTCACGCTCTGATTGAAGTACAGTGGGTATTTTGTAAGGCAATTAAACTTGCAAGAGCACAAAGCCAAGTCTTTTGCTCTGTAATTGCTTAGGTGCTTTTGAAAAATTTCCATTTACTGAATCGACAGTCTGAAGTCATAGGGAATTTCCCCATGGTCTCCTATAGGCTTTGGATTAAGGCTAAATTGTATAACCAAAGTTGCTATAAAAATATTTTAAAGAGTTAAATATTAAAAAAACCAACTGGATATGAGAGCATTCAGAAAGTAAAATGAAGAGCCTTTTTCACTTAAGAAATGTAAGTTTGATTTAACAAATTGATTTAAGAAATGAGAGTGTTGTTGAATACATCTTGAAACAACACCAACAGCTCATGAAGCAAGAATTTCCATAGGGAGAAAAAAGGAACTGTGTGAGCCACCCGGCTGTGTGAGCTAATCATGGAGATAGACTCTGGCTCTTGCTCTGGAAACATTGGGTGAAGTCACGGAGGCCCTGCATTAAGGCAAAACTGAGCTTGGAGCCTGCCCTGCTGGAAGGGAGCTTGTAAGGTTTGATTCTAATAGCAGAGATAAACAGGGACCAATATTAGCATACGCTGGCTAATCAAGAAAAGCTCGGCGCTAGCAAAGCAATCAGAAACACAAATCCATTCCTCGGTAAGACCAGAGCTAAAGAAAAGCCTGTATCAGTCAACAGAGCACTTAGTAATGAAAGATGATTTAATAAAACATTGAATTTGTTCTTCTACAAGAGCAGGAAATAAGCACCGTGATACCGGATATTAAACTGATACCACCATTGCTTTTAACTGAAAGCCAGCTCTGTCGGCACTCTCTTTGTTTCGGTTGCTCTCCATTTTTCTTGCAATAAAGAAGTATGTAAATAAAGCGCCAAAACCATGAATTTACTCCCGTGTAGGTTGGGATAAGTTACAAGCCATGTTACACAGATGTGGAACATTAGCAGCATTTGGCAGTGTTATCACTTCATTCATCACACTCCTTTTCCTTTAAGGAGCTGAGGTCTGAAGTAGAGCTGGAGGTCTTTGGAGACACAGAAGGACTCAATCTCTCTTTCACTGCAATCTGTAACAATGGGACCTTTTTTCCACATCAGAGGAAGTGCTCTCATGTGAAAGTGGGAGACACAGTAAGTAAGGAACAGATTCTTAAAAGATACTGATTCCTGAGAATTTTGAACCCTTTTTTTTTTTTTTTAATTTATAAAATAATCTTCCTCCAAGCAAGTTACAAAAAACAGGCAGTATCTAAGACACTCTTGTTCTGTGTTATTCATGTATCTCCAGAATATCCTGCAGACCTAGGTATGCTGCAGATCTGATCAGACACCATTTTCTCTTCCAGGTCTCTTTCAGCGTGAACATAAGCCTATCCACTTGCGAAAAAAATAGAAGGCACATTGTGATAAAACCTGTGGGTCTCAGTGATACACTGGAAATTGAAATCCAACCCCAATGCAGCTGTAACTGTCAGGCCGATGCTGAGATGAACAGCTCAAAATGCAGCAAGGGGAAAGGCTCTTTTGAGTGTGGAGTGTGCATCTGCAACCCTGGGTACATGGGTCCACACTGCGAGTGTGACGAGAACTCCCTCAGCACAGGTTCTTGCAAGGGCTCTGTAGAGCAGAGCTCCTGCAGCGGGAGAGGTAACTGCTATTGTGGGCAGTGCATTTGCCACCCCTCAATGTATGGAAAAGTGTATGGGCCACACTGTGAATGTGATGACTTCTCGTGTGTGAGACACAGAGGACTTCAGTGTGGAGGTATGTTCCCTTTGAGCTATTTCTAGTGTCTATGGTTCAGACCGCTACTGTCCCACTCTTACTTATGAGCCTGTGAATCTCTATTTTCATTACATATTCAATTATAATCAGTTCTGTATAAAGTGCTATAATGTAGTATTTCTGAATGATCTTTAGATTTGAAACAATAAATATTTTTTACCCTATTTTCAAATTTTAAAATGAGACACTTAGCTACTCCATAGCTAGTATAAATTGTCATAGCTTTCTTGGACCATACCAACTTCCATCACACTGGGTCAGACTTTTAATGGTTGCAAACAGTCGTAGCTCAGAAGAAATTTAAGTTTATTGACATACGTTGATATTAAGCAATGTACAATTTCACCCTGACATAATTATTAAAGTATAGCCATCTTAACCATTTGGGAGCTAATTTTGATTTTTATTTATTTATTTATTTGTAATTTTAACCTCGTAATCTAAATGACTTCAGCTATTCTTTGTTATGTGAGTATGACACAACCAGAAGTTGAGGATTTGTATTTAAAACTTTTTCCTGGGCTATACCATTATCAGTCAGAAGTGATTCTACTGAAACAATAGGAATAGTGTTTAACTAGCAGGAACAAGCAATGAGATTGTGTTGAATAGACAGCCTGGATTTATGCTGCTATAAATGAAAGAAGGTTTACCCATTAAGTTGTGCACTGTTGGGAGATAACAATCTATGTGGAAGACTCCAGTGAAGAGAACAGAGTTGTACTGGCTTATGGCCAGTCTAAGCTAAAAAATAATAATAATATTAAAAAAATCCTCTGGCTTCAAACTAAAAACGCTAGAGGAAGAAGAAAGAGTGAGAAGAGGTGGAGCAGTGAAAATATCTGTTATTAAGGAGAATTATTTTAAAGGTCATCATTCCAATTCATACTGAGAGACTAATCTGAAGTATAATATATGTTTTCCCAGGCAATGGTGACTGTGACTGTGGGGAATGTGTGTGCCACAGTGGATGGACTGGTGAATACTGTAATTGCACAACTGACACTGGCTCCTGCATTTCTGAGGACGGGACACTGTGCAGTGGGAGAGGCGAATGCATCTGTGGGGTGTGTGCTTGCACACATCCAGGGGCTTCAGGCCAAACCTGTGAAAAATGCCCTCTGTGTGGTGACCCTTGCAGCTCTAGACGGTAATGTGCTGGGTTTGTGTCTCTGATTTTGGTATCATCGAGCTATTTCCCATACTGCCTCAGCAATGTGCTTACTGCCACAACCATAAATCGCATTTACAGGCCAGAACCCAAGAACTTCTTTCCACTTTGAGAGGGGTAGTCATAAATCATACATCAACCATTTATTATCAGTCTATCTTGTATTAAAAAAAAAAAAAAGTTAAGGGAAACAATTTAATCACCTTCATGCAGCACAAGTAAATCACACTTTCACTGCAATCCCTGGCTGTACTAATAATCAGAATGGTGGCTTTATCTGATAACATCAGACAAATACAGATGAATCTCCTTTCAGTCCAAAATACAGAATGAAACCATTCCAGCATAGCTACTACAACAAAAATGAGGACTCACAGGGAAGAAACTCAGAAAAGTTTGGAATTTGCATTACAGTTCTCATATGTATGAACTAATAAGGTCATGCTGTCTGCTCAAGCTTTACACATGTGCAAATTTAAAGTCCAAATTCAGTTAATCTTGGTTGAATTACAGAGGCCCAACCATGATAAAACTAGGTCATAGTCTGGGGATAAAATCAGTGGGTAGCTGTATGTCATATATAAGTTGATGATAAATTGATTGTACATGGTGAAGTGTCTTCTGTTCACTGAGCATACAAAATTTATGTAGCTTTCCTTCTGTGATGCATGGTGTATGCTGTGGTGCATGATAAGAAAAGGAATGAAAAAACGTGTGACTTAAAGCTGACCGCTCTAAATACACATATGCTTGTGCTTGCATTTGGTGAGCTATTCCAGGGCTAAGGTCAGTCTAAAATGAGTGAATTTCAGTAGAAATTTAAGCTAGAGGTTAAAGTAGGCTATGAAGAATATGTGTTATTAATGACACATTTTGCCTGCTGAGTACCAGGTCAGAGTAAGCTGCGTTATTGTTTCATGACTATGTCACGTCTACTTACTGGGAGTTGAGACCCATTCCTCCTCCACACCAGCTCTCCACCACTGTATTTTCATGCCTGTATTTCCAGTCTACGCTATATCTGAGATGAGAACCTTTTCTACGGCATGCATTGTAATTAGCATTTATGTTAGCGCTGAATCTGACCTATAAAAGCAAGCCAAACAGTTTGTTCAAAGCTCACGTGCACAGGCCTCAGTTTATAGAACCTTCTGCATGCAGCTGCTCTAAACACGAAGTACAATGCTGCTGCTTTGCTCTGCCCAATTTGGCAGAGAATAAGAAGTATAAAGTTACATGACAGGCATTACATTGGCCTATTTAAACATGTATATGTTATGCAGTGTTAGATCTTTTGTCTCTGTTGCAGTCACTTCCCTTGCTGAGATGCAAGGCAGGGAGAGCCAGAAGAGTGACACTTGACATACCTGGGTAGCGTAACCGAGAGCACTAGAAGGCCAGGTCAGAGGGGACTGAGATGAATGGCTCAGCAGCTGAGAAAAAGAGAGTAGTAGTATGAGAAACATGGCAAATATGACAAAAACACCAACAACACCGAATTTGTCTCTGTGAGATAGGGGCTATCCCATTACCCACTCACTTTTACTATTCATCATCTCCAGAGTGAGTGAGTGTTAAGGTCATCTCTATCCAGTGAAGATAATCTCAGTAGCCTCAGCATATTCTCATGGATATATGTAACTCAGTGCAACAGGAGATGACCAGGTGTTCTTGGGTCATTTTGTTGCTGTTACTCTCTTTTTTCTTTTTCTTTTTCTTTTTTTCTTTTTCTTTTTCTTTTTTTCTTTTTTTCTTTTTCTTTTTCTTTTTTTCTTTTTCTTTTTCTTTTTCTTTTTCTTTTTCTTTTTCTTTTTCTTTTTCTTTTTCTTTTTCTTTTTCTTTTTCTTTTTCTTTTTCTTTTTGTCAGTTCTTCAGGGTGGTTTTTAAAGTCTCAGCTCCTGTATCTGGTTGAAGCTAATTATGAAGAATCAGCAAGATTCCTTTTTCATCAAGAATTTCATATATGACTTCTGTTTCGTTTTGTTTTTCCCATTTTTTTTTTTCATTAATTAATTCTCTGTTTATTAAAATCCTCATTGAAATTCTGGGAAGATTTTTAGAGACTTTTAAAGGAATTGGTTTAAACTCTGTGGCTTTAAATAATATTTTAGTCATTGCACCATTAAATAAAGTAAATAATTTGAAATTCTTTTACAATAAATTGTGCTGGTATAATTAGCATCTAAATAATTCCTGAGACAAGTAATCACATTCGAGAGACATCTGTTGAGATTCCTGAACTGTGTTTTAATACATTATTCAATCGACTTTCAACAAAGGAAGACTTATAACAGGTGCCCCAGCTTGATCTCTCTGAAGTTGATTTCAAATATTCTTCATCTGATAGGCATTCCTTTGGCTGGTATTTAGTATAAGCTTACTTCAGAATATTTTTTCTTGAAAATGAATGTTATGTCTGAGTAACCCCATGTCTTTGATAGCCCCACATGAATAATGTTGCCTAGGGTTCTGTCTGATAGCTAATAAGCTGGGAGAGAAAGAGGACAAGAGGGAGCTTATCCACAATACCTTTATTCAGGTAGGGTTCTTTTTTTTTTTTTTTTTTTTTTTTGTGGCAATCCCTATCATATTTCTGAGAACTACTGTATCCATAGCACAAGACCTTTTGTTTAGCTTCTTTTTAAAATGCAGATGCATACATACTCGCTTTTATATTGGTGCTTTGTGACAGACAGAGATTGATGAGCTGCTGAATTGTTTTCTGCAGGAGCTGTGTGGAATGTCATTTAGCTTCTGATGACAAGTCGCAGGGAGAATGCAGTGAAAAATGCAAATCAGTTGATGCAACTGTCAGCACTGCAGAGGGTTTGTATACTCAATCTCTCTTTTTTGTGCGTACATGATTATTGACAGCTTCCACTTTCGGTAATTTTATCTTTGAAAGTAGCCTTGTTTTTCTGCTGTGGAATTATATTAGGGCCCATAAGGCAATCACTCTCTATCTATGGTCATTCTACAGTAAGTAGGAAATGTAGATCAGGGCTGATATCACCCCTCCAATTAACTCATTGGATCATGCCTACTTTATAAGCAGTTTATGTAAGAAGGGACAGAATTTAATAAATACCAGTCCCTGAAAATCAGTTGCTGATGAAAGCCCCTGAGGTTGTCACGCCTGTACTGTCAGTTCCAGTGGGGCTTCTTTTGCCAATCAAATTCAAAACCCGACTCCAATCCTTATGCAGATGGTTGATTATATTTGGCAACTAGACACAGTCCTTTAACCTATGGCAAAGACGTTCTGCTGCTTGTCAGGTTTTATTGAGACATTTCTGGTATCCTAAAGGCTAAGCACATCTTTCAGTTGACCACAGTAATTCAAAGTTGCGCTCCATCAGTGAGAGTTCCTGAAATAGGAATTGACCTTGAATGAAATATTACCCTCAGTAAGAAACATAACTAAATGGAATTGTGTATTGAAGCATTTTTCACTCCTGTAGAGGAAGGTCCTTGCCTGTACAGTAGGTAGGCTCTTTATTCTAAATGCAGCTAACCCAATCCTATGGCAAAAAGCAATTCCTAGGTGAGGTAGGACACTGATGTGTTATACCCACATCATAAATGTAATGTAAGCATTAAATCTGATGGATTAGGTGGATTAATCTGATGGATAGAAACACAAAATGCTGTATGCATAAATAAGGATTGAATCTGCTAAACTGTTGGAAGTCCATCTGCATACATGCAAAAATTTCATGAATACATATCTTTTCTACAAAGCTCCAGCTTTTGTTTTTGATAACATTGCTCTGAAATATAAAGCTTGAAAGTTGCAAATATTTCCCTTTCATGGAAAGCTAATTCAAATGTATTTTTATTACATTATTATTTTACTATGCCTTTCTAGATATTAGTATTTATTTATAAATACAAAAATGTCTTGACAAATTTCAAAATGTGCAAGAGCTTTTATTGTACCTATGTAGTTAGCAAAGCTTTCAGGCTGGTATCACCATATAGCAGATGTTTGCAGGTAGGGATATACAAGGCATTCTGCTTTTGGATATAAGGAATAATAATCAATAACAGGAACAGTCACTCGTGGTTCTGTTCACGCACACACATGAAAAAGGAATATGAGAATGACAGTAGCATGTTCTGTTCCTGCATATCTTCTTTTTCAAGCCTTGTGTTTCCCTGATCAAGGATGTCAGCTACTTCTTTAGGTATAAAATGTACTTACAGCAGCTATAGCAACTGCTGTATTGAAGGCTGGATAGTTGTTCCTGTCCTAACCCCTTAAAATAATAAATAATAATAATAAAAAAGAAGCTTGTGCAAATTGTTTCATCTCAATTTACTTGTGTAATAGTACAAATGATTAGTTTTGGCATCAAGGTAGTCTCATTAACATGTCCAGGACAGGGGACTTGAAAAAAATAAAATAAAATAAAACTCTGAAATAAAAACCATATGCCCCAAACAAAAGGATTTTGAAAGTAGTATAACTAGAGCACCACACGGTATTTGACAGATTTTTAATGTGATTTCACATGGTAGTATAATGCTTCATTCTGTTTTAAACTTCAGCTTCTTTAATTTGTCATGGCATTTTGAAAACTAGAAATATCTCTGGGCTAGAATGAATATTAGCACTTTAAAAGTTTACTTTCTGTTTTGCATGCATATGTTGCAACACGGTGACTAGAACTGGGGAGCCATAAAATAGCATACGCTTTACATTTTTCTGTTTCCTGGGAGTGCCTGTTTTAGACTCTAGGCAGTGCCTTTTGCCTGCTGTGTGGCAGTTCATCTGTTCTGTGGGTTTCTCTTCCTGCTTTCCCGCAGCGAGGTCACTCACACCGCTGTGCTGCAGGAAGCCTCTGGGCCTGGAGATCAAGCAGGGCACGTGATGACACAGCGGTTCTGGAGGTGCTGATGTGCTCACATGTTCTGAGCTGGGGCTCATCTACATGGCAGGCATCTCTTTTAACTATTTACTTTAATCTGTTTTGAATATTTATGCAAAAAAGAGGCTAGCCACTCCTTTGTGTGATTTGTCTAAGAGGAGCTGTTGTTGCTGTACCTGCTACCCAGGGGAAACCACAATTCCTAAAAAGTGATTCCTGCCATCACCCTGGCCACAGAGCACCAGGCTGCTCATGCCACAAGGTCAGCAGGGACAGTTACGCTTTCCTAGGAGAAACTGAGTTTTCTCCCACCTCATAGTACTGACACCACAGAAATTCCCTGTGCAACAGCAAAGAGGATGCTGAAGCCTGAAAGATAAAATAAATCTCAATCAGCACTGCTCTGTGGTTCTGTCTCTAAGCAAGGTGAAACTGCCCCCCAAAAACTATTCTGTTGAGCAAAAGACAAACAAGAAAGGGCATAATGACATTTAAATTTCCAGACCGATTTTTGTTGACTCTTTTATCTAATTGTCTGTTAAGACACGGGTAGTCTTTCATACTTTGAGAATCCATCTTGCCACTGTTACCCAATTCTTCTTCCAGTGTGACTCCAGTGACATCAAATCACATTGAAATTAATGAAATTAGGCTGCAAGCACAAGATGGAAAAGTATTATGTTTCACTACAAAACACAGAAAATGACATAGGTGTAAATTTCAGAAGTTTACCTACCTTGGTGAATTTTTGCACCTATGAAAATAAAATATTCTAGTTAGTAGTCTCCCTTAGTGATCCATCCTCCTAGAAATAATATCAGAGAAATAAAAATACTACGTAGAAGTTGTTTTCTGAATAGTCTGAACTGGCATCTCCACCTTCATTTGTGTGTCCTTGCACATAATCACATTTCTGCATGCCTTGGTCTGAAATTATGAGGTTAATTTAAACGTAATTTAAAAAAATAATATATTTGTAGTTTTTACTTTTTGTTTGTTTGTGTTTTATATTTGGAACACGCTTGCAAGGTTTTCTGTGCTTTCAGGAGGGATAAAAACTACCCTTTTTAAAGAAAAAGCTAAAATTCTTTGGATCTGCTTGCTTAAAGGAGTTGGGAAACAACAAATATTGCAAAACTTGTGATAGCACTGGAACCGTGACCTAGCAATGAGTGTCATTAATTCAGTACATTCAGTCTGGAGGTTTTAGTCCTTTTAAGAAAAACAAATCTTGATAAATTGGCACGTCTTGTCTGCCTGTCACCTTGATAGATAACATGTTGTTCTGACATCAAGGACAGGGAACAGGTTAAATACAAGATTAGCACAAGTCAAGAATATGTTTCTATTAAAATCCAACCAGATGTGATTCTCACTTTATAACAAGCAGAGAAAAGGGCAGTCAACTGTTTATACTTTTGTACCCTCTGTACTGTCTAATAGCATTTGCTATAAGACCAAACCTTATGATCAAAAAAAACAAAAAAGTGAGAATTTCTTTCTTTATGTATGATAGATACTTTAAAATCCATTATTCTTCTCAGATTCCTACTGTATATTTCATTACTCTTCTTGATGCCAAAGTTTGAGGACTAAAGATTTTTAGCACAGTTGCTTGTGCAATTTCAGTAAAAGTTTTAACTGGATAAGAAATAATGGAAGGGTTATGGATACAATTGATCATTTTCACAAAAATGTTTCAGAAGCTTACTGTTGTGTTTTTGTTTTTAATTATTATTTATTTATTATTATTATTTAAACCTCTGCAAATAGAAATTGAACAGGTTTTTCTAAAAAATGTATTGAAAAGCATACCTAGATTTCCAATGGTCTTTTAATCATGGGTTATATGGAAACATAATAAGCATTCAGCCACAGAGGTATTTGTGCACAAAGCTGTAAGGTAGGATATTTTTGCCCTGTGAAAAAATTATATAATGGTTAGGCTCAGAATTACAGCATTTCTGGCATTGGACCAGTAGTCTCAATTTTCAATTGTCCTATTTGCTTTATATGGTCTGTCACTGGTAGCTTTCTCCTGTCTCTCTCTTGCCTTTTGAATGAACTTTTCTCAGCAGAAAAGGTTTCCTAGTTAGGAATCATTAAAAAAAAAAAAAAAAAAAAAAAAAAAAAAGGATTAAATTTTCCTGCAGATCTGCATTAAATGAAGAGACAAATAAACCCGGGCAGACTGTCATCTCAGGTTACTTTTTATCTGCTTCCCTTTGAATCACATTACAAAGATCCCAGAATCACAGCTTTCTGTTATTAATTTATATTTACTGTTGTGACAACATTTGGCATACTGATCTTTGAAGTAACTATTGCTGAAGACATAAATGTCTTTAAACAGTTTCCATTTCTGTTTGATATGTATGTATCTACTTTTGAAACACAATCTAGGCATGTGAGTAGCTCTAAACCAAAGAGAACATACTGTTTACTTTGTCCTATAATTGGGGACTATTACATTTCCCAGACAGCTGGTGGTTAAGCACATTAGAATTACTTCCAATTCATTGAAATTCACACTACAGCAGATTAGCAAAGTGCACTGGATGGTCAGTGCAGATTGACAACACCTGGATCAGTTCTTCTGAAATGCAAGTGAAAAATCTGAAGAAAAAAAAAAAAAGACAAAACAAAACCTGGAGTGCGAGAGAAGTATTTAAAATTAGTAGAAATTATATGGGTATTTCTGCTTTCATCTTTTACTCTTTACCGTATACAGACAAGGTTGTGACAAATGTTACACCAGCAGTGTCTCTTGTTATTGCATGTTAAATTTCATTTGATTTGATGGATGACTTTTTTCCCCCCTTGCAGATTTTTCAGAGGATAAATCCATTCCTTGCTCTTTGCAGGGGGAAAATGAATGTATAACCACATTTCTACTGGCTGTGGATGAACAGGGAAGGACAATCATTCATAGCATAAAGCAGAAAGGTAAGCAGTTACATTACCTTTTCTACATGAAATCTGGTTTAAAAGCACGGATGGGACAGACAATCAGTTTGAGCAATGCCAGGAGCTGAGCTCTTTTGAACAGCACTGCACCTCCTTGTGTTTGTAACTGTCCTCTGCCCAGCCAAAACAGCACCTACTGAAGCATTTATTTAATGCTGTATTAAAATAAGTGCTTGGTCTCCCATGGAAGATGGGCAGAATAATCCAGTGGATTAATCAGACATTGTTGAACTCTGTTCCTCAGCCCTGCCTCTCTCTGTGGGTTTAAACAAGCCACTTCACCTCTCCCTGAGTTTCATACACATAAACCTCTTATCACCCCAAGGGCTGCAAGAGTTTGTTAACTTTTCTAAAGTACTGTGCAATTCTAAGATGATAATAACAAATGTCCTGTGTGTTATATCTGAAAACTGTAATCCACTGTGAAATGACACACATTTTGCAAATTGCACTATTTATTCAAAACACTGACTATACCTGACAAAATACATCTTCATAATTATGTTTAATGTTGAAGTAGTATTAAATTTTGAGTGCCTTGCTGTACTTGCATAAATAACAAATATTCAACAGATCTTTTTATGTCCTTTCTTTTAACAATTTTTTATTTAATGCTATTTCACTACTGATTTTTTCAGTAAAACTTCTGATCTAGTGGGATAGGAGAGAACACAGATACCACTTTTCAGCTGCCAAGCAGTTTGACTTCCAGGCAGTAAAATTAAATTTTTTTGGTCACACCCAGTGTCTCAGTACTAAATGTTGGTTATGTTTTAGTGAAAGCCATGCAAATTTGTAACTTAGCTCTGTTAGTACAAATGGCATTTATTTTGTTAACACTTTGTGTAGGTTTTCTCTAGCATTCATGTGATAATGAAAGTGATTTCACTTCCATTAAAAGCTCACACACACAAAAAAAGAGCTTTTATTATAATAACAGTAGTGTGGCTTTGTATAAATTATGATTGCAGAAAAGATCGCTGTACTAAAAATTAAAACTAAAGAAACACATTTGCTTGTAAACTATACCCGTAATACTCAAGATTTGAAAGGTAAGCCACTGAGAGATTTCTCTTTATTAAATACACATAAATACAACCCAGCCCTATTTTTGTAATTATAAAGACACAAATAGGAAAATAATTTTCTAACTTTCCTCCTCAGAATATGGGTCTGTATTCAGCAGCTGCTAATCAATGTGATAAAAAAGCTTTTACTTTTTAATTTTTATTTTTTTTACATTTCAAGGCAATTATTTTTCAGGCTTGCTAACCCTTTAGCAAGCTAGTAGGAGTAAAATAATATGGGATTGGAGGAACATATATGCACACTTCCCAGCAAATGAGAACCACAGAATGCCTCTTGGTTGTTTTTAATTGCCTAAAACTTACTGATTGGATATCTGCAGTCATAATTATTTCTGTTTTCACAGATTGCCCACAGCTTCCAAATATCCCAATGATAATGGTGGGTGTCACCCTTGCTATCCTCTTGATTGGCATTGTTTTGCTTTGTATATGGAAATTGCTGGTGTCAGTTCAAGACCGAAAAGAGGTGGCCAAGTTTGAAGCAGAAAAATCAAAAGTTAAATGGCATACGGTATGTTAAATGTATTAATTTTATATGAGGTTCTTTAATTTTGTTGCATGATGCACAAAGACCTTTAAACTCTGTCTTGGTTGCGTTCTTTTAAATTGATAGGTTTTACTCATAGATTTTCATTACTTTTAGTATTCTATGAAGTTGAAAAGTTCTATTAAATCTCTAATTTTTTTTAGGGATGAAGAATAGCTAGTGTTCAATCGCCTGGTTTAATTTCTTCCACATGTAAAATGGTGTAGATAATACTTTTATAAGTTTTTTTTTTTTTTTTTTTTTTTTTTTAAATTAGTACCTCCACTCTGATTAATCTTAGCCAAGTTGCTTACTGCCTATGTAATTTTCAGAGGTATACTCCTTAGATATAGAGCCTGCTGCAGGAAAGTGAGGTTATCAATGGCCTCTATAACAATGAGAGCCCACTTATACTTAGCAGCAATGTAAGCTGTCCAAAATGTAGGTAAAAGGACAGAGCAATCTAGCCCTTAGTTTCTATCTATAGCATGCATATGTCTAATGCAAGCTGATACCATGTTCCGTTTTCCTATTTCCCTTCTGCCCTTGGCTTTTTTTCTCTTCTGCAATAGTTCTATGACTTCTGAGACTTTTTGAAAAAAATCATGTTGAGTAAGCATTTCTGATGGGTGTCAGGAGGATATGCAATATGGTACAGTTTACTTAGCTACATTCCTCTACAAAACTTGATGATTGCAACATTTCTGCAAGAATGGACACTGCCTGCCTTTCAGTTTTTGAGACAAGAAAAATTAGTTACTTACAGGCAAGGCCACTTGAAAATGTTTTCCTAATTCTTCAGGAGGGCTATGTGTGGTAAGAGGGAAGAGAAGGATACTATTGATAGAAATATTTTAATTTTCTTTTCTGTCACAAGAGGAAATGATACAAAGGGAATGATGTGAGGCCAGTATTAAAAGCCTAGGTAGGACTTACCCGTCTAGTATGTGTCAGATGGTGGGGCTCCCACAAGAAGACCCTGACAAGTTACATCTCACAGTTGAGTTTTCTTGTATTTCTGTGCATTTTCTCTGTGTTTATAGAATGGTTCGATCACAACATTTACGACACAACAACTTATGTATTTGATAAAGTATTGTTTGAGTATGTGCCTTATCTTAATCTGGGAGGCAGATGCAGAAGGAGGTATGTTTCTGACCCTAGACTGGCTTGTGTTGTCTGAGACAGACTGGATTAATTTTTAGTGTCTTGGAATATCAGAAAGTTGCTAAAGTCTGCACTGAAACGATCAAAGGTATGAAATTACTTCTGTACAAAGAATAGACCAGAAGTCCTCACTAGGGAGAAGAAATAGTGGGAGGAGAATGTGATATTGGTCTATAAAATTACCACTGTAGAAATTTAATACGGGCCATTTTCTCACTGACTTTTTCCTGTACAAGAACAGTGAGATAGCAGGCTCCAAAGAAGCAAAAGACATCTTTACACAATAACTGTTTGAGGCAAATGATTTATTTCCACAGATATTTTAGATGATAATGTTTGTGTAGATATAAAATATCTTTACAGAGATCTGTAGAAGGATGACATCCTCTCTGATCTGCGAGGTTTGCAAAACACGTGGTAGCTCTCTTCCATCAGCCTGCATTGCCAGTTTGCCAGGTGTGTGTCCATTGCCAGGTGTCTAGCCTGGGTTTCCCACAAAGTAGAGTACTCATCATCTTCTGCACCTTGGGAAGCAGAGTGGTACCAGCTGGTGTGTGTAAGATGTGTATCACAACACTGGGCTAGCAATTGTTGAAATCATGGATCAAAATTAACCCTTGGCTAAAGACATATGTTAAAAGCAGTGGTTTACAGCAATATATGCTTGTAGCTGAAGCAATGGCAAGATGACTTAAACACTGCATGATTTGCATTTTTTTTCTTTTCTTTATTTATTTTTTTTTTTTTTAGGAAACAAATCCACTGTACAGAGGCTCAACAAGCACTTTTAAAAATGTCACTTACAAGAACCAAGAAAAGCAAAAAGGAGCCACGGCTGCAGATTTCTATTAGCACTTTGGACACTACAAACTTAATTTTACTGGCAGGAAATCTAAAAACTCTATTTGTTTCTTCTCAGCTGATTATGCTGATTATGTGATATTTGTTTGCATATTGCAGTAGTATAATCATTCTGATAGAGAAAATATATCTTATGTTGGGAAAACTATAGATAGCACCAGTAGTAAAGGTTAACAAATTAAAAACAAACAAACAGCTTTAATATTAAACCACCCCCATCTTAGAAAAATAACATCACAAATATTTTTAATTTTCTCTTTACTACCAAGGATTAAAAATTATCAAAGTAAGCTTATTTTTGTAAAGTTAAGTATATAAAATGAGCTGTATACTACTTTGTTCATCCACAGAACCCAAACACATTTGTATTTAGGAGTGTATTTACACCAGTCTGTTTGGTGGGCTGGTTTAAATTCAATACCATACATTTTTCATCAGTGCTGCTTAAACTACTGTGGTTAGGGGTTCCTCATATCACCTGTTTGACTGAATCATTTTTCATCAGAAACAGCTACTGCTATGGCCTACCTTCCATGTATCTAAGGTATAGAGATACCTCCTCTTTAATTCTTTCTTGTCCCGCTTTCCTTGTCCTTGAATTGGTTGCTGTTTGATGTTCTTTAAGAATCCTCCACTCCTTGAGGTTATCTCAGGGAAAACTAAATCAACCTCATATTCACTTGCATAGTTGTTTTCTGTTCAAGTATAAAGTTCTTTCCCCCCCCTCCCCCTTTCCTTTAAATTCCAGTAGAGAGGATCAAGAGCAAAAGAGAAATATTTTTAAATTAGTGGCCCTACTAGAGAAACTTTAAATCAGAGGATTACCAGAATCCCCCTCACCCCCTGTCAAGTCTAATATTTATCTCCTTTTTAGGCACTGAAAATAAACCTCTCATGCTGGACCATCGCATGAACTGTTGCATGAGCTCTTTATGTGCAGGAAAATTTCATACATCAAGACTTAGTGTCACACAAAAAGGCAGTATTTTTTTGTTGATATATCCTAAACTGGGAGGTTCTTTTAATGCCCAGCAGCCGAACATTTTATTTGTGTGTGAAATAATTAATTAATCTCTTTTAGACTTCTTTTTTCATACTAAGCAACAAATAGATCTATGAATTCCACTTGATATTCATTTCCATGGCACTAATGAGGATTTTTAAATCTCAGTTTTAACTAGTTACTAATGACTTACCATAACTTCTTAAATTGTAATGCTGATATTGTGAATGAAGAAAAAAAAAATCCTCAACAAAATCAGCTAACATGATGACATAAAATGTTACAGTATTGGGCTATTTTAAGCTTACAATAGTGTAGTTTACTTTTTAATATCACTTTTCCTCTGCATTTTTAATTATCTGGAATACTTGGTCAAAATGTACATACAAATGTACTTACAAGAAAAGACTTTGAAAACAAAGGTACATTGATATAGTCACAGACAAACAGTTATGTACATTCCCTACGGTAAACTCTGTATTTGATCTAAAAACTTGTCCATTTTGTAATGAATATTTACGAAGTCTGTGCAACCTCAGTCTCTGTACCCTCTGCCACTACTGGATACGAGACTGATCTATCAGCTAGGTCTGACCCATGCCTGTTTTAGGGCCTGATCCAAAGCCTACTGGAGTCAATGGCTACAGATGAGGATCTAGTTTCAGTGAAACTATTAGTTTTGGTTTACAAAGATTGTTTTGTTTAAACAAACCAATTAATACCGTCTATTAGTGGATTAGAACCTATAGTATATATTTCTGTGCAAAGAGAAATAAACAATATCTGATGCCTTTGGAAAGGAACTGATACTATAAACTCGTAAGAAATGATTGCAGTGTGAAGGGAATGATGACTGTCATTAAACTGGAACAAGTAAATTACAGGTTCACATCTATACTCTTCAGTACTCTTGCATATCTCAAGGTGAAAATGTGCACAACGACTGGCATCTGCACCCCTTCCAACCACTGAAGTCCTACAGATGTCAGTGCAAGCTACATATGGTACCAAATTCTACTTCCCTGGCACACGGATAAAAACACATTGCAGGTAAATCTGGCACCTGAAGTTGATCTCAAATTCCATTTGGGCCAAGAATGCCCAAAGGACCAGGAAATCTGGATTTAGCCCATGTGAATTATCTGTTACTCTTCTATTTTTCAAATAGAAGTCATCTTTTTCTAGAAAAAAAAAAAAAAAAAAAAAAAAAAAAAAAAAAAAACAACAACAACACACTAATTTAAAGTAAAAAAAAAAATCTTTACTGTTTATTAGGTATCTTTTAAGTTCTGCAGCTCAGTATGAGGGTTGAAAGCCCTTCTTCTGTAGGTCACTCATTTCAACATTGAACTACTTTTCAGTATTTAGAGATTCTCAAAGTGGTGTTCATGTTTTATGTAAAACATTTGGTGGTCTATGTTCCCCGTTCCTACAGGAGCTTTCATTTCACAAAGCTATGCCGTCTGTTACTATCACTTACATCTTCTGATCATCAGCAAAGATCTGATTTTGTATGGAGGCAATGTTTACATTCCAATTAATCCTCCTAGCAATCTCTCTGCAAATTATCAAAATGTACAGAAATTTAGGCAGTATGTTCTTCAATTTCCCTGCTGTAACTGAGTGTACTACAAATGTGCTGTGCACCTTCAAAATTTTCAGGATGAAAATCACTCAGATAATTAAGAATTCATCAGATGAGAAAATAGAAGGGCTTAGTGAGAAATATTTCTGTTATTGAGGGATAAGCCATTCTTTTAACAGCATTAATTAGATCATATATTTTGACAATATAAGAAAGCAATTAGATTTCAGGATCTTACTTGACATTCGCCCTAGAAAAAGAGTGTTGTTCATATCTTTTTATTAATTATATCATTTTATCTTGTAGTATTTGTATCAAAGTTCACCTTTTCTTTTTTCCTCCACCAAATTCTGAGTGGGTTTTTGTGTGGTGAGTGGGATGAAAAAGTCTTTCTGCTGTTTTCATGAATATTGTTTTGACCTGGGGCTGGACCTTGAGAGTGGCCAAAACATTTTTAATAGAAAATCTACTCACTGAAGAGTTAAACTAAATAAAAACAAAAATCATTAGCAATTTTGTTGTATTGGTGTATCTTTTGTAGAATGGCATTTTCAGTGATGTATAGTAAGTGGTTAATTCTTCCTTTGATTTATAAAAGTTACATGTTAACCTGTATTGTATATGTTCAGACTGCATTCAGCTTTGGTTTGTAATATAACTAGTGGGTAATAAGCCGGGATACAAGAGCAAAACGTCAAGTGCAATACTCTCCATGTGTTGTATAATGCTATACAGAAGTCCAGGTTTCTTTTGCAATGGGTGTAAGGGATTTATTGCCCCACAGTACTTATCACACACAATCTAGAAGTAAACAAGAGGTATTTTTTATCTTGGTCTATTTGCAAGAAACAGGTAAATACCTCAACTTATTTCTGTAAAAGAAGGATTATTTAACCTTCAATAAAGATTATAAAAGATAATGCATTTTTATATACTTTTATTCTTTCTTCATTTTCCATTTTATTGCGTGTCTATCATTTTTTTTAAATGCAATTTAATTAATCTTAGCAACTTTTTCATGCTTTGGCATACCCTAAAGCTAATTTGATAAATTCCTTCTGTACCTTTCTTAACATAGTATGTGAGCTTTAAGATGTCTGGATGTTCATTTATTTGTGATCCTTTTACTTTTCAAGGAAATGATTAATGACTGAATCCTGTAAGGAACTGATTTTTGGAGATATGATTGATTACATATGGCATTCTTTTCATACAATGGCACCTAAAATACACAACTTACTTAAAGCTAAAGATCCATTAATTTTGTAAGTGTAATAACAGTAATATCTTTTTGGATCTACATGGCAAAGTGCATGTTTTCTGTTTAATATGAAAGTTACCTCTACTTTTTTATTTCTAATCAATACTAATGTATTTTGATATCTGCTAATTTCCTGCTCTGAGGAAGTGAACATTCATTGGTATCCTGGAAAGAGCTGTATTTAAAGCCAATTCTATTCTCCAGGCACATAATAATGTCAGGTTCTCTTGAATTTCACAGTGGATTGTTAAAACTGAAATTGATATAAATGTGTAACGTATCCTTATTTTATGAAATTTAGAATTTATTCCACCTCAAATATTTCTATGCATTCTTATTTTGTTTGGTTTGTACGAATGGTTCATGCTTAGAAACTTTTCTTCTGTGTTTCCACTGAGGTACATACCGGCTAACACTGACAGATAGCAATAAAAGCACAATAATTACACACAATGTGGCTTAATGAAAAAGCTTTGGCTTTTCAGAGATTTTAGTAGATCACAACATTGTTTCTTGAAGCTGGCTCAGTCTCTTTGTTCTACCAATCACTATGCACAAAGCAGACAGAACCAAAAGCTGATTTTCATTGGAACCTCTCTCTACATCATGTTATTTACACTATAGTTTAGCTTGTTTCTAATCAAGTTAGATAACTTAAAATTGTTTCAAGACATTTCTGTATTCAGATAGATTAAGTTCTCAAGGCATTATATATTTTAAAAAGTGCTATTTTTTCACAGGTTGGTTAACTTTGCCCAACAGTGGCTTTTTTATTACTGTTTCCATTTTTAGACAAGGTACAAATGTAAATAAAAATGAGGTCTTTATGTGAGAAAAACAGGAAATTTCTATTTAGTGTTCAGCAGTTGGATGTTACCTATGTTTGGAAAAGCATGTACCATCAACTTCTGTCTTAGAAGTTAACAACTACAGTTCAAAGGCAAACTGTGGCTGCTGTTGATCATCTTAGGTGAGAGGTTAAGACTTGCTTTCTCTAAAACTCTCAACTGACTTAAAAATCAGACCAATGATTATAGCATAATTTCCATGTAACAAGCCATGTAAAGGTTGCTTCTATTTTAAGTTATAATTGATTTGGGGAAAAAAAAAAGTATAAAAAAAAATAAAAATAGAAAAACAAGCACACAAATCCCCAATAATGTTAAAATGTTACAGAAATTGATGCAGAAAATATATCAAACCAGGAAAAGGAACTGTTCAAACTAAGGGTAGTAGCAATCCTTAAAATCAACGAACTGTTACAGAAATATTTGACAAGACCCCCTCAGTGTCTGCAGGGAAAGTCCACTGTAGTAATGTGTCATGAGCCAATTTGCAAGGTGACAAGCAAATGAACCATAGGCAAGCAAGAGAATATGAATGTTCATAGATACAGTGGTCTGTACCTCGTGTTCATCCTAGAGTACCTGCAGCTACTGCTTCAAGCTGTCTGGGACAGCAGCTGCAAGAAACCAGTTCAACATCTCCCTGTAAACTATAGATTTTGTATTCCCCTTCTTATGTTCCCTGAATTTGGAAGATACAGGTGTCAATCACTAGAGCTTTATCAGAGATAGACGTGTCACTGGACATGGTGTTTACTGTGTTCATAGTGGATGATTAATCAGTATTCCCAAAGTGTGTGTGGAAAGACTCTACGTCAGGGTTTGTCCATGATTGGCACGCAGGAAATTCATTCCAAAATAAATCTAGGAATTTAATGTGGGTTGGATAATTCCCATGAAAACTGTAGACAACATCCATTTTGAATTGAACTGGTCTTAATTTAGTTAATCTTTATTCCAAGGTAAGGACAGGAGTGTCTGAACATGTTTAATTTAGTTTGTCATTTTCTGTACAGATACCAATTAATTTAGATTAAATTTTGAATTCTTGCATGGTGAGATTCCAATGAGATAAAGAAAGATGAATAACAGAACTCCTCTGTCTTTCTCCATATCAAAGGCCAAGACACCTGAACTGACTGGTTTAATAGCATCAGTGGCAAGTCATTCCCTTGGTTATAAAGTTGTTAGAGCCTTTCCATGACTCATAACCAGAGCATCTAGTCTATTTCAATTCAAGCGTTTACGTTTTTTTGACTGTGCATTTGCACTTGATGATAAACTCAGTCTCATTACAGTGAACAGAATTCCCTGCAGAGATATGATGCTATTCTGCATAATGTGTCCAGGTCTTTCACAAGAAAACAATCTACCAGCAAATGTTATTTTCCTCCTACCTGAAATGAGCAGCAGCTAAAGAGCTTTGGGTTTTACCAGTGAAGTTACATTTCTTGTTCTTAATGCTTCAGTTTGTGTATGGAAGGATGCAAAGGAAAAATAATTTCACTTTCTGCTTTCTTACCAGCATAAAGTTTAGAGAAAACACCAGAAATGTTAATGAGTGTTTCCCTGGTTTCTCTTACATGTGCATGTCTGTAGATATAATACAAAATATAATTATATAAGTAATGAAGACATGCTCTACCACTGTGTAAAGCCAATGGGAGTCCTGGTTTCCAGACTTTCTTGAATCCAAGTTTTAAATCCTCAAATCTGAGACTGACCACATATTGGATTTACCACAATAAATAAATAGGACAAGAAAAATATAAATGTATATGCATTTTTATTGCGTGCAAAGGCAGATACCTAATGCATTTTTTTTTTCACCTGAAAACGAATTGGTTAAAGGAAAGAGGCAAAGTAAAATTACTTTGGGTTTCTCTGTGTGCATATTCTCCAAAGAGCGTGGACATTCTTTTGCACTACCTGTAGGATTTCTCTCAGTCTAAATGTGTACGCATGGCTGGAAAAAAGATAAGCTCTTCTGGGAAGGAGTGTACATGCTTCAGGGGCACACCCTGCTAGTGTTAGCACTGGGTACACCTTGTGTCCTGGCATTCCTGCCAGCACCTAATCTTGTTATGAATATCACACCCAGTATGTTTTGGGGTATTAGACTGATGGCACATTGCTAGAGGCTGTCTATCCTTCCCAAGTAGTCATTCCCGGTCTCTTAGTAAACTGTGGCTTCCATCACCCCCAGTTTAGACCAAACCAAGCCCAAACTCTGCCACGCTCCCACGTCAGGATGCACGACAGGGCAACAAGAACTGGCATGAGGCCTGTGGTGTGGTGGCAGCTGGAGGGCAGCAGCTGCAGGTTTGAGTTTCAGCTAGGTGCTGCTGTGCTGCCAAACCACCACAGTTTTTTTGCAGGGCAGCATGGCCCTGCAGGTGTGGGGGGAACACAGACTGAAGGTCTTGGGCCTGAAGGAATCCGCTTGCCTGGAGCTGATATAGTATTTTCTGTGGCCCACTGTCAAACTCACTCCTGTTTTTGTTCTAGAGGAACCTGCTTATTCCCTGCTACTCTGATTTATGAAGCATTTTTCTGATAAAATGAAAGGGGGAGGGATCTGCATAAGGAAGTGGTTAGCATGGTGTGAAGACGCAAACTGGTCAAGCAAATCTGGAATGGTTTGTGCCTACAGGCCCACTTGCATATGATCAGGAGAACTATCAGTCTCTCAGGTATGTTTTAAACCACAAAACAAAAGTTGTGAGGGGTTTATGGGATTTTTATTTATTCTAAAATATCTGCTAAGCAACTATATGATGATTTTTATTGATTTGTTTGAAAAGTGTAATGTGTAGACTGTTGATCACAGTGTGTGTAATTTTTGGTATTGACTACAAAATGTCATAGGTCTGTTTAGTAATTAAGTCTGCTGTTACTAGCTCTTCTTAGGAACACACCAACTACTCCTTTGTATCAGATCTTTGCAAAAATTTTTAGTCTTATTCCAACACTGATTTCACTCTAGCAGTACTAACAATAGGACGCTGCCTATGTATGCCTTGATGGCAGTCACGTATATCTTAAGCATACTGACCCTAAGTTAGCAGAAACAAGTCTGTGAGAAAATTGAATTAGTGTGAATTTGACAAGGGCTTGTATTTGTGGATGTGTATGGGCCTCATACAAAAGGCTGAGTTAATTGCTAAGAAAAGGTACCGGGAGATACAGAACACCTATGCAGAATACCTAAATAGTGAAGGCAGAGGAGCTCAAACAAGTGCATCTATAGGTGTCCAAACAGAAAATAGATCATCAATTCAGAAATGGATATATATTTTTTTTAAAAAAAAAGAGAGTTCCAGACAGAAAAGGAAATAAAAGCCAAATCACTACAATGAACGCCTTGAAGGAAAGCATAGAATAAATAAATTTACAATTTACTTTGCAAAATAATACAAACTGTCATCAAGTTTGCTTCAGAAAATGTTGCTAACCATGTTGCCAGCACTATGCCAGCAAAGATGTCTCATTACTGTAATGCAGCTAGTACGGCTTAGCTATAAATACAGAGGCCAGTGTAACTGCAGCTGCACTAGAAGGAATTTAACGGTTTAGTAAGAACAGAATATATCCATGACAGTAAAGAATTGTTTAGTCAAAGAGGAAAATGTGAATACTAAAGAAAAAAAATGAGGAAGTAAAGCTAACTATTAAGTTGCTAATTCATATTTAGTAAAATATTTACATAAATATTTTTGATATGTCCAGTGTTAGATATCTGTAATCGGAACATGCTTATTTCAGTCTTAGTGAAATGAGCAGAAAAATCCACCTGTGGCAGTGCTCCCCATAGCTCGGAGCAGCCCCGTTTTTGCTCACTGGCACTGTTTTCTTCAAACGTAGGAGTGCAAACACACTGTGAGAGTCAGCAGCAGGTTTTCCGGAGCTCAGGACTCAAAGTGGTAGCCAACACTCCTGAAGTTCAGAGTGCCCAGTTTTTCAAAAATGGCTTGGTAACTTTTTTTTTTTTTTTTTTTGGGGGGGGGGGGTGGGGTGGGGATGGAGGTGATGTTACATTTTCTTGAGAGTTAGAGCAATTCTGTCTTCTGAAGTCAGTTCACTGCTGGGACAGCTTGTTCAGCGATATTTTCTGCTGTTCTTCTCTGCCAGACATTTTTATCATCTGTAAAGTGGAGAAAACCCTCCACTCATCTGCTTCTTTGTAAGTGTTGGGTTTCCCTCATTTCTCAATACTTTTTACCAAACTACCCGTCTGGAGCTCCCCCAGGCCCAGCAGTTTCTGTTCCTGTCCCTGTACCGTAACTGAAGTGGGCATGGGGGAACAGAGGCCAGCCGTTTTGGCTCTGCTTTGGTGCTGTATGCTTACGCTTATACATTTATATATAAATGTAGATACTTATTTGTCTGCTGTGAATGAAGAACAATGCAGAAACATGCCCACGCTGATTAAAACCAAACTGTGATGTGGATTCCAGTGAAGCTACTCTATCTTAAACCCAGGGCTTCTGCTTTTGCCTTTCCCCGCGCTATTCATAGCTTCTGTAAGACTGAAACTGTCCCCAAATGGGGGACTTCCTACAAATCCTTCCTCGACCTAAGGACAGAGATCTACAAGAGGGAAGAAGGAAATTACTTTTCCCCATGCCAGAAATGTGAAGTGCCTTGACGTGCTGACCTAGCTAAAAACCAAGTCTCTGTAAAAGTTTGCCTGAGGACACGCAGCAGCGGAGCAGCAAGGCGCCGGACACGAGCTGCGCTGCCCACGTTCTCCTGCCTCCCGCGTCTTTGTGCCACTCGGCTCTTTTTAGGAAAAGCGGCCTGGAGAGCAGACACCAGAAAGCGCCCAGGGACTGCAAACGAGGCGCGTGTGGCTCCTTTTGGCCGCCTCAGCGCCCAGCCGCGGCCTGGGCAGCGGGCCCGAGGGGGGGCCCCGCGGCCGGGGAAGCTCCGCGGGCGGCTGCCGCGCTCCCCCCGCCCTCCGCGGGGTGGGGTCGCTCCTCCGCCCTCCCCGGGGCCGGGCTCCCGGCGCGGAGAGGAGCGGGTGGGCGCCGGGCCGGGCCGTGCCGAGCCGTGCCTGCTGAGGCGATGCTGGGCATGCGGCTGCGGCTCCTGGCGTGCTGCCTGCTGCTGCTCGGCGGCTGCAGCCCGCCAAGGGGCGCCGCCACCGCCGCCCTCAGCCCCGACGAGGTGCCCGCCCTGCGGAGTGAGTGAGGGTCCCGGGGCGGCGGGGTGGGGCACGGCGGGGTGGGGAGGGGCTGCTTCAGCCGGCGTCCCCCGTGGGGTGTGCGTGCACGGGGGGACACGCGGATATTTCGCCTCCCCCCACACCCCGGTCCTGTCCCGTGGTGCGGAGGAAGCCCCCGGGCCTCGCCGTGCCCTCCTCGGGGCGGCGGCTGCGGGGCAGCGGCCGAGCACACGCCCGGCTGTCCTCGCACCTGGCCCCGGAGGTCGTGCCGAGGGGGTTTCCTCGCCCCCGGGGCATTCCGGCTGTTCTCCTTATGCCATTGAAGCAGTTCTCGCTGCTGGTTTTTGGGGAGGGGGGAAAGGAAATGGGAGGTGAAGAGGAAGGAAGAGAAAAAAAATCTCGCCCTCCTAGCTCTGTTATGCATTATTTGTAGTGGCGAGCCTAAGTAAACAGGAACCCGGACAGCTCTCGGCACATGGCTTTGCTCCTGGCACTTTGCTTCGTGTCACCTTGCCCTTGTACGGAGGGGCCTGGACGTCAGGAGAAGGGGGATGTTCCCAAAGGGCTCCCTCCACCCTGTCACATCCTTCAGAGCAGGGTTTGGGATTTTCCCCTCGGCCCCTCTGGGGTGTGCAAGCTCATGGAGCTCCTCGTGGTTGTTCACCCACAGGGTCATGGGCACAGGAATCCCATGTGGTGTGGGCTTGGTGTTGCTCCGCTTGTCTCCTTGTCCCCCCTCCACTGGTGTAATTGTGAGGTCTCAAAAGGGAAAGGGAAAGACCCTTATCTTTCCTCAGCAGTCATCGCAGCTCTTAAGAGCCTTACGGATAAGGGCGTTCGGATGCGTTTCATAAAGGCCGAGACCCCTTCATCTCTGAGTTGTTTCTTGTTGCTCATGCTGTTACACGGGAGGCATCACGGGTGCAAGCAGAGATAAACTGGGAACTGGTATTAGAACTTTAAGTGTGAATCCCAGTATCGTGGTGAATTAACCTCATTAATCAGTGTTTACTGGTGCTAACGACATCACAGCTTCTACTTATCTAGCAAATAAACAACGTATTTTCTTGGCCAGCCAAGATAAGGCTGCTGTAGGAAAGCCGTACCCCAGCATGAGAAGCAGGAACCCTGTCTGACCTTGTAGTCTGTGCTTGTAGATAGAGGCTGTGCCATCTCTGTGGCCCATGGAGGATGAGGATGGATGAAAAGAAGGAAGCACAAGCTGCACAGCTTCATCGAAAACTCAAAAGCGAAGTCCCCCCTGGGTGTCTGTCACAGAGTGGTGGTGTTTCAGTGAGCTCGTGGTTGGAGGGCTGTAGAAATGTGATGGACTAACGGAGCATAGGAAGCTTCTTTAGGAGCCTTGCTGTGCCCCCAGAGAGTTAGGGACTCAAAGCCAGGCTGCTGCCAGGTGCTTGGAACTGCAATTACATGCAGCAGGCTTGTTCCTACCTGCTGTCAGTCAGAAAGGCTCGCTCATGCTCCTGCACCATCATGAGCTACAGACAACCATAGCCACATGGCAGAGAGCACCTGATCCTAGAGAAGCAGCTTGCAGGGGAACTTCTGTCCTCACTGTATGTCTGGCCACTGGTGGGATCTGTGCAGGACCTGGAACCAAACTCTTCTTTGTAACCTGTATCTTGCCTGGGCCACTCATCGTGTATGCCATGTGCTAGTGAGCTGGTCTTCTGCCTGTCTGTCATGCAGCACTGCTGGCTGAAGGCTTTCTGTCAGAGAGCTGCACCTAAACCAGTAGGTGTTGAACCCAGACAGCATCTGGGTGGGCTTCTGCATTTTGTACTCTAGATTTGGAGTATCTTTTTGTTATTGTTACTTCTTCAGGATGTTGGGGGTAGTGAATTACAGATAGAAAGCACATGTGGTAGAAATTACTATTGCAAAACTTCATGGCAAAATGGAAATGCTAATCAGGTTTTCAGGGAATAATCTCCTGAGGCATAAGTATCTCACCTATAATGTGAGAGAAACTCTGCGGGTTAATCGTCACTGGATTTCAGAATAAATGAAATAGCTGAGCTGTTATAGGTTTTATTTTCCTTAGTCCCTCTCAGTTTTTCAGTCTATATGCACAGTTAGACATTTGTTCCCAAGGCGTTAAACAGCTGATTTTTTTTTTTTTTTTTTTTACATGCTTATAGTGTGATGTCACATTGTTCAGTGAACTTCTACACAATTCCAAGAAAGCTGGGACATCAGGCTAAGCTTCCCATGTCTGCTGTGGTCCAGCCAGGGCAGTCATCTATAGCTCAACAATATGGATCCGGTAGTTAAGGCATATGTTAACTCTTGATCACCAGCTCTTGTGATTGAGATAAATCCCACCTTTCCTGTATCATACATACAATGCAAGATATGTTTTCTGCCTCTATAGTTGCAGACAGTGAGGCTTGAAAATGTCAGAGAATATGGCAATTTCAGTCTTTACACTTTTTAGCCTTTAATTGGAATCTCCAGTCCCTCACAGAGAATTATTTTACAGCTCTGAATATGACTTGCTGTAACACTTAAACCTGTACCACATTATGTAGAATTTCTTGGTGAACAATGCTGTAATTCTTCAAATGTGACTGATGTTTTTTGGATGACCAACATGAGAAATACTGCCTAATCTCACAGTGATCTGTCAAATGGTCTACATGTTACAAACTTGGCTGGCAGTAAATTTAGACCAGTATTCTTATTTTTTTGCAGTGTCAGATATTCTGATGAATATTGTCAGTTTTCTTCATAAATAGCTAAAACATGTCCTACAATACTATTTCATCATCTGTAGCATTCTGCAAACTGAGAGTGTTTTTTGTTGTTTTTTTTTTTTCTTTTTTTTCCCCATACAGATAAAGGGATATTTATTATCCAAAGTTCAGACTCTAACTTGTGCATCAAGGTGGATCCAGCTGGCCTTGTTCTGGAAGACTGCAGTCAACTCTCCAAATACATGCTATGGAAATGGGTATCCAATCGTCGGCTTTTCAATATAGGCAGCAGTACTTGTCTAGGACTGAACATCAGTAGACCAGAGCAGCCATTGACTATGCTTGAATGTGATTCAACTCAGTACTCATTGTGGTGGAATTGTGATGGAAGAGCAGTTGGTTGGTGTATCGGAGTACAAATTAGCTATTGAAAACAGCAAACGTATTGTTGCCAAAAAAAATTCTAATTATGAATGGACACAGTACATGTCCTATGATGAAGACCTTTGTGAACTTCCTTTCCAAGGTAAAAATCAAATTTGTCATAGAAATGTGTAAAGGAAAAATGTACAGAAGTTGTTTTTGATGGAAGGTCAGATACTTTTTTTTTTTAAATAGGCGATAATTGAATTGAGTACACTGCACAATTAATTTTTCTCCTCATCTATTATACGGGCCTCCAAAAAGGCCCTAGTGTCCCTGCGAATCCTTGCCCATTCCAAATGGTTTATAAAATTAAAAGCTGAACTAAGTATTTGCAGTCCCACAGCTCTCATTGTCAAGTAAACCCAAAGAGAGATAAAGAGGGATTTGGAATTCAGATTACTGACAGTCAGCCTGCAATCTCGGTGTGCATTATCCAAACGTTTGCAACATTCAGCACCTGGACTCTGAACGTGCCAAACTTTGGAGCAGAAATCAGGCTTTTGATTAATCCTGTTGTACAGCTAGTCAAGGCATAGGAATTTAGGTCAGGATCCAGACCTGCAAACCTTAACAGTTTTCCGGGAAAAAGGATGAAGATAACCCATTTTCCACGAACAGCCACAGTCAGGCTGCACCTTGACCCCTTCCTCAGCCTCTCCTTCAGCATTTCTTTAGAAGAATGGCCTAATGTTTGCATAGCATGTCTCAGGCTGGAGCTGTTGATTATCCCCATTTGAACTGTTTTTATGGGGTTGCAGAGCTCTGGTCTCCACGTATTTGGATTGTGGAGCTTTGATCTTGGTGGTTTCTTCTGTAGGTGCAGCTGGGCTTAGCCTCTGCTCTCTCCGGGAGGTTCCTTTGGGAGCTGCAATGCCTATGGAAGCGTGTTAGCATCCAAGATCTCTAAAACCTGGCAGAGTTTATACTTAAGACCAGGCAGAAAACATTTAAAACCATGAAGTCTTAAAAGTTTGCTGTGTACATTCAGCAAGATGGAGGTAGATCTGGTCTAGTCCTAGAGCTGCAACGATCTGGCAGTTTCAGGATGAAAATTAGTGACTGTCTTGGCAAAGCTTCTCCCCCTTCCAGTTGTTGTTTTATTCCTTCTACTTCATCTTATGTACATGCAAATGCAAGTTAGCCAGTTAGGGATCCCCCCAGCCTGTTGCACTATCTTCAAAATAAGTGTGTATAACTATGGTGAAAGGAACAGAGCTGTCAATTTCTGTTACTTGTCAGGACTGAGATAATCCCTTGAACCTCTGTAGCTAGCTAGCATCATGGTAGCAGGCAGAGGTGCAAACCTGATTTCTTTTAACCCGCTTTATTTGTATTATCTGCTAGAAGGCTTTGAAGGGGATTTACAATCCATAAACTGCATTTTTTGCATGTGCACGTCCAGCCATTATCTCTGGGAAACTGGCAGCATGTCCTTATTCTGTAGTTGAAGGACTTTGATCTTAGCATATCAGCATGGGATCTTTGGCAAACAGTTTAATTCCAAGTATGATTGTGGTTCTTTGACCTTTCGTAGAAGCATGTGCTCTGAGGTTAAGGAGATACTGAGGTAAATCTTTTACAACTTTGGGTTGCACTTGATTCTCTCAGTACTCAAAATACAACAGGGCAACATTTTAAATATTTTATAAGCTAATAACTGATGTGACAACAAAGGTACATAACATCAGTTCTTTAGATTACTATTCCCCGTGGTATAAAAAATATTTTTAAAAGTTTATTTAATTTTCCTTTGTCTTTCATATTTCCTTTCCCATAGAATGACAATAAGAATGGAAAAAACATCAGAAATTCATTTAAACAAGAGTGGGTGGAGCAGAGGAAATTATGCTAAATTGCTTGTCTATCATAGACTAGCAAACAAAAAATAAGCAGAGCGTGCATCTGAGCATGTCCTGATTATGCTAACTATAGTTTTAGGTAGTTGTTCTCAAATTTAAGTGCAGGATAATAGGATATAGAATAATTGCTCTTTTTTTTTTTTTTTTTTTTTTTAGTTGGAGTAAGTTATGGGGATGTGCCTTGTTTCATGGTGATAAATTTCATAAGCTAACATTTTCAAGTTCTGTTCAGTGATGTTTCTCATACTTGTCTCAATGTTGTGGTATTAATTATGAATTCAAATAACCATAGATATTTTTATTTTATTGTTGCTGTTAAAAACAAAAATGATGAAATATGGGGGGTGGAATTTCTGTCAATGTGTTCTTTTAATCTCTACTTTTATTTTATTACAGAAACATATACCTTATTGGGAAATTCTTTTGGTTTCCCATGCGTTTTTCCATTTAAATATAACAACAAGTGGTATTATGAGTGTACCAGGGATGGAAGGGAATTTGACTGGTGTGCCACAACAAGCTACTATGAACAAGATGAAAAATGGGGGTTTTGCCCAAATGCTGGTAAGATGTTGCTTCTCCCTCCCTCCTAGAGTATCCATGATCCTTATGAATAATTCTAGCATGGACTCTATTTTGGAATATAAGATTACTCCTATTAGAGAGGAATGTCTCTTAAAAAAAAAAAAAGAGAGAGAGAGAAAACTTGAGGCTTTAATATAATCTACCATGTATGGTCTTTGGAGACCCAAGTCCCAAAAGCACAACTCCACGAGGCGTGCTGCAGGATGTGAAGTGCTCACTGCTCGGTGCCACCCATTGACCTTGCCCTGCAGCTAACCCATGGCTGTCTCTGCTTTCCTCAGCAGTCCATAGGGGGTTTCTCTGGAGCATGTGAAGGAGGAATCGCTCCTTCACATGCTCCAGAGAAAAAAGATAGAATGAAGTCAAAAGCATAATCTATCTTTTATATTCATTTTCTCCCAGGCGCTCTTTGGACACTTATGTTTTGGACCTAAAACACTTAGGAGCAATATTTTTGAAAATATTTTTTGAAAGATTTTGGACACATGGTATTCATGAATATTAAAATTATAAATAGCAACTTGTAGCTTCTTTCATAAATATGTAAAAAATACCTTCTATCAGCAGAAGTGGTTTGGAAAAGCCCTCCCCGTTCAGGCTGTGTCTCAGATCTCTGGTCCAAAGCATGTTATAAACAGCTGGAAATGTGATTTCCTAATGGGAATTTCATGGGAATTTCCAGGGAACTATTATAATGAGGAGTATTTTCAGCCCTGCTTCTATATTATAATTATAATAGTTTTAATCTCTTGAGTACTGGGTAGAAGGAGATCCAGGTGACTGCTCCTCCATAAGTTGGGTGAGGCACTCATAGTGTGACTATTCTAACATCCAGCTTTAGGAACAAATGATCAGCTGGTGCGAATTAAAATGTAGCTCTGTTGGCTTCATGCAAGCTGTGAAAATCACCACCAGCTGCAGATGAGCTCCTGAGAATTTATCAACCACCTGAAAAATGAAGCAGTGTTTTATTCAGCTTGTGTCCTATTTCCATACATACTTTAACAAAGGAACACTGGAGTTCATCATCATGCTTCCGCTGAGATGCTAATGTCATTAATTAAATTTCTAAAGATGCTGTACTTCTGATTAGCTTGTAGCCTTGTGCTGTTGGTAACAAATCTCTTTCTGAGCAGAGAGTGGCTGCGATGCTTTTTGGAAGAAGAACCCTGCCACGAACCTCTGCTACCAGTTCAACGTGGCATCCGTGCTGTCGTGGCATGAGGCACGGGCTGCGTGCCAGATGCAAGGAGGAGATCTGCTCAGCATCACCAGCCTGGAAGAGCAGAGCTACATCAGTGAATTAAGCCGTGAGTACACAAAGCACACTGCTAACAGTGGATGTAGGCACACGCTTAGTGTGTTCCATGGGATTGCTGTCTTGGAAGGCTGTTGAATTTTGTTGTAGCCTTTGGAAAGGTGCAGAGTGCACTTTGAAGCAGGAGTCTTCTGTCCCCAGTGTGAGGATGGATTGTGCTCCTCTGGGAAATGGGTCGGCTTGACTTTATCTGGGGACCATGTAAGAAGCCTGTGGTTGCTTCTTACCACTTTTTTGCCAGTGAAAGGCTTTGGAGTCTCTCCCATTGCTGCTGGCAAGGCTTTGTCACATAGCACACCTAAGTACCTGACAAAGTGAGAATGAAGGTAAGTTACAGCCTTAATAATCCAAGTTCAAAAGCAGTGGTATGTGTTACGTGAGGCTGTAATATTCTTAATTCCTGCTCGCACAGTGACTTTTATTCATATTTGCAGCTGTGGTTATGGACATGTGGGTTGTTAGGTGTTTGTTTTTGTTTTCTTTGAGAATTATAGAGATGTTTACCTTCTCAGCAGTGCACCATACTGTCATTTTATTCCTGCAAGGTTTCCTTTGCAAACTGTACTTCACCAAATCTGAAATACTGGAATATTCCTGCAGGGTTGAAATAAATTACCTTTATAGGGGGGGGGAAAAAAAAGCTTTGTTTTTATAAACAGATGGTATTCCCTCTTTGATAAGCTCCTTCGTGTCCTGCACGTAGAACGTCTCAGACCAGTTCTGCATAGTCCTCTGATGGCATTGCTTTTGTGGCTGTTTTGGTGTTGGTGAAGAGGACTCAGTGAAGGACCGGGCACTAAAACCATGTTGTGAAAGGCAGATTCAGGTTTCTTTCCCATTGCTTCCCATTATTGCTGGTTTTCAATTGCAGGATATAAGCTAACAGGAAGTTTTTAAAATAATTTCATTAGCTTTTTGATATGTATACAGGCTGTAGAGGGACTGGAAGTTGTTTGTTTTGTGTCTGACAGCAGGCTGAGACAGGCTGGCGTTTCTGTAGCTCGTGTTAGAGACGTAATATCTAAGGCCACCAACAGCTTACGTGGGGAGGGTTTGCAGGATGGGCAGTTGAAGGGATGCAGACCTTTTGAGTTTATCCCTCCTCAGCTGTGTTGATTAACAAACCGATAGACTTTTTCCAAGGACAGGAAAAAAAAATAAGTCTGAGCCTTCTGGAGAAAGTGTTAAACTTTGTTTTACTCTGATTGTAACAAGTCAGGACAGTGTATCTATGCCCATAGATATTTTAAAACATGGGGAATGTGTAAAGTGTCACTTTGTTTATTTTTTTCTGTTTCAGGGCAGTTAAACGCCACAGACATCGTGCTTTGGACAGGCCTGAATAGACTGGGAGAAGATACTGGTTGGCAGTGGTCAGATGGAGCGCCACTGATGTTTGTGAACTGGAGAGCAAGTATGAGATATTTCTGCTTGGATTTGTTACAGCAGTGTAATTACAAGCTCTCTGTAATTGCAGCACAAGAGAGCTGTTAGTACAGCTACGTTTGAAAAGTGAATCAAGTGGACTAGTGTACCTCTCTTTTTGTAGACATATCTATTCATATTCATGAACTAAAGCCCATTCTAGGGATGTGGGTGGCATCCATGGAGATGCATTTATTCAAAGCGTTAATGATATAGTCCTGTCATTTGCTTTTAAGGGTATTTTTGAGATTCCAGCTGCATATTTAAAAACTATGTTCTAGCTGGTTGCGTGGAGGAAAGGAGTTTTAATTTGTTTACATGAACATGCTGTAATTAACGCTAGCACATTAACATGAGCTTTGAGATTTGGTTTGCTGTATTTTGAAGTCTGTCCTCCAGCACATGTAACATCGACACCAGAACTGGATTTAGCTTCTCATCTGATAGCAGCAGGCAAGGAAAGATTGCCATATATATGTAAGCGGTGGTTAACGTTCAGTTGTCCATAGGGTTGGTGTAACACTCCTAGAAGTTTGGGTGTGCAGGGCTGATTATGTACATTTGTTCAATAAGAATACAGCACCATTTTACAAGAACTGATTTTTTTTAATTGCATGCTTCTCAAAAAAAAAAATGCATTTGCAGATGTCTCTGATGACCGTTTTAGCGAAAATCATTGTGTGGTGATTAATTCAAAATTGAAGTACGGCTGGCAAAGTTACTTGTGTGAATCTGGATTGCCTTTTGTATGCAAGAAATACTTAAGTAAGACAGAGCATGAAACATTTGGTAAGTATCTCAATTTTAATGTGTCCTTTTTGTGAGTATGGATGGAGAACAAGAGGAAGCTACCTGAATATAAATTTATGAGAACAGTCTTAGCTGCAGTATAGGCTTGCTAGTTTAAGTTGAATGCCATTTACATTAACTGAAGTGGTAAGACGTTCTTCTGTTCAAGTGCAGTTCTGGGTAACATGTTAAGAGTCTTAAAACTGACAAATCACTTTAATATGCGTGGCATTTAATTGGTTCCTTACATCATCAGAGGTTTACAGAATGCTTTCTCTTTATATTACAACAGGGCAACACTTCTGAGTTTAAAAATAGGCTTTCAGCTTAGAAGGGAATTAGCCCATTGCACACAGAAGATAAAGTAGCATAAATGCAGTTATTTTTATGACGTGCTATGCTTTTCATATACCAAAAAAGCAAAGTGTTTATGTAATGACTGTAAGGTGTATAGTATGTAGAATGTCTCAGATGCCCCTTCTGTGGGAAATTTAAATGCAATTTTGTATTTATTGGAATGTTAATTTCTGTTTTGATAAGAAAATTTAGATAGGTTGAACTTTTTTCCTGATAAATTATAAAAAAAAAAAGTTTCCCTACTTGTTTCAGATACTGAAAAGGGATTTACCAAACTCTTTGTAGGTATTGCCTATGAAAAAGCTTCAGCTGGTTTTGGATCAGGCCCAAAGGTAATAAGGCAGATAAAGAAAGTTTTTAATTGAATAACAGTTCTGTAACTGTGTTTGTACTAGTTCAGTGGCCTGAATGGTTGAGTCATAAAATAAGGTGGGAAAAAAATCAGTTTGCATTGTGGGTAGCGATCCGTAGACCATGTGTTATGTCCTTAAGATGACTCTGTTTTCAGCACCTGAAGATAAGAAAATAGTCTAATGCAGCACAACCTTTGTATTTCTGTCTAATATACTCTAACCTTGCATGGTTAATTAAAAGATACATGGAAGTATTATGCCACTCGTTGTGATGCCGGCTGGTACCCACACAATCGCAACTGCTATAGACTTCATAAAGAGGAGAAGAGCTGGAACGATGCTTTGATCTCGTGCCAAAGTGACAATAGCAGACTCATTAGTATATCCTCCATGGCAGATGCAGAGCTGCTCCGTAACTTGCTTGAACGTGGTGAGTTTTGAGAATTAGTTTAAAGTGTGCTATGTTTCTTGAAGTGTTTCTTCTGTGTAGCCATGTAAAGTTGTTGGCCTTGTAAGCCCAATATTATGTGTCACACCCAGATGAGGTTTACAAAAAAAAGTGTGATGTGTGCTTCTTCTAAGAGTCCTTAAAATGTAAGGCACAGCCTTCAATAAACATAGTAACAAAATGAACAAAAGCTCTTAGGTGCAACAGTGTGAAGAGTTTTGTTGTTGTAACAGTAGCAAATAAGTGTAAATATTTTGTGTCTCAAGCTGCCATCCCTGGCCATGAGTTGTAACTTCCTTGAGCTGGGGGCATAGTGACATGTTTTATCAACTCTGTCCCATCAGCTGTGGTTGCAAAGTGGTGCATTATACTGGAATTACTGGACATGATCACGCATTCTCCTCCCTCACACCACCCGTCCTCTCTGTTGTCCTGTTTGTCTTTTTTTGGGAGATTAACCACGAGTCGTCCTCCTCACCTCTGTTAGCACCCTCCATAGATACCAAACACCATTTTTTCCAGAAATGTCGTAGTAGATAGAATTAATTATTGTCAGCTTGCAGTCAGCTTCAAAATCTGTTGCTGGTGTTTCAGCCCTCCTTTATCCTTCTTTTCAGGAGAAGGGCTTATGTGCCTGAAAGCTCATCTGCTTTCACTAGCTATAGTAGCTAGTCAAGTAAGGCATTACGTCAAACCTCAAGACTCATCTTTCATGGATTACCAACCACTGTGGCTACAACTGAGCTCTCACTGGGACATAAAGCCATTGCTCAGAGAAAACATAAAGCTGAATGAGCCATGAAAGATTATGAAAAGAAATCTTTCCCTTCCATGTCAGGCTTTGTGCCCCATGCAAGCTTCAAGAGCATATGCTCTTGATTTGTATTTTTCTGTGTTTCAAAGCATATTATTGCATATGTTGATCTACTTTTGAAACCATTTAGTCTTCAAGGGAAGTAGGATATTATCTCATCAGTAAGGTTTCCTAAAGTTCATACAACTATTTCTTTTTTCATGAAATAAGATAATTCTTATTGAAATCCCATGAATAATTTCAATAGTGGTGTTGATATTACAGGAACAATAGGCATCATTTCTTCATCATTAAAATATGAAAAACTTATTCTTTTACAGAAAACGTAACTGAAACATGGATTGGGTTATACAGTAATAATACCCCAGTTGTTTTCAAGTGGTCAGATAGCACCCCAGTAAAGCTGTCCAACTGGCACAGCCAAGAACCTAATACCTTTCAAAGAACAGGACAACTCTGTGTTTCAGCACAAGGACCTGTAAGTTTTCTTTTCCTTTTGAAAGAACAAGACAGACACTCTTATTTCACCTCACAATAATTTATTTTCTCACTATGTATACTCTTGTAAACCATGACCTGCAGTATGACTTTGTCTTTTTATTCCTAATATATTCAAGCTGAAATAAAAATAACGTAGCCTTTAGAAACCAGTACATTTTGCTGTGCTGCTACACAGAAAAGTTAATTATTATTTTTGAGGTTGAATTAAAAAAAAAAAAATAAATTATATACGTAAAGCTTGCCAAATGGAAGCAAGCAAATATTCATAGGTATTTTGATAAAGACAAAGTAATTTAAAATCAAAGTGGTGTATAGTATAATTCATGACTAATTAGTTCCAGTTTTTAAAGCTTCAAGTTGATATTTTGAAAAATGTTCAACTGTGCTAACTCTGTGTTGCTGTCAACATTTATAACTTTCATGAAGCATCTTTCAAAAACAGGGAGTAGCATAGATCTACATAAAACTATAGATGTTGAGAGTGGTAAGACTGACTCCAAATCAGTCAGGTGTTGTAAGATTGGGAGTAACATTCAAATAAGCTTAGACTAGGCCCTGTTGAACCATGACAGGCAGCATTTTTCTTAATTTGGTCATAAATGTACTTTACTTTTACAATTTACAATACTTACATATGCTCAGACCTGATTTAAGTGGCACTATAATTCAGTTTTTCGGTAAAGTAAATTTTGTGAAAGCATGAAAGCTGTATCAAGAAGTGTTTTCTGTTGTTTCTCCAGCAGTAGGTCGAAGTTGCAATCTTGAATTCATAGATAAGAAAGCCAAAACAATTACAACAACCTGGTAAAGTCAGCTCTCATTTGAAGCAGAAAATGGTAAAAGCCTGGTTTTAGACACAAAAAACTATATTTTACTAATTTTACAAGTGTAAGCAAACAAATGAAAGCATAAAACACAGTAGTGGAAAAGAAGATTCAGAATTGGTACATGTCCAGTATTCCTAGATGTCTAAAAGTTGTATTATACAAATGCTGTAATATTTTGAATAAGGGCTGTTCAAAGATAAATGTTAATCTTAAAAAGAACTACAGTGGATGGGAAGGAGGTTCAGTATATGATTCTGAAAAGCATTCTGGCATGCCTATAGTTTTAGTTAATTAAAATGTATTACATCCCAAGGAGTGATTCAAAGAGACAAACTCCTTTGTGTGATTGTCAACAGGACTTTTCAGATCAGTGTTGGTAGAAGTAAGTGATCCATCTAAAGGTAAATAAAGGAATAGAGTGAGAAAAAATATTCTGTTGCTTGTTTCTATTAAAAAGTTAAAACAGGAAGAGAAGTTGTATAATCTAACATCTGTGTATTACATATGTATGAGAATGGGTATGTAGAGAACATACTTTTTTTTCCTCCCCCTCAGGAGGGACATTGGAAAGTTAAAAAATGTGAAGACGGATCTTTCTATGTTTGCAAAAAAGCAGGGGAATTTAATAATGTTTCTTCTGAGATGGAATCAAGTTGTCCAGAGGTAAGGGAGTTAATGTTTTTTTTTGTTTGTTTGTTTCAGAACCTTACTGATAAAACAGAATTATAAATAGAGGTGTAGAGTATACAGATGTCAGTGAGTAGACAGATAATTTTCGTTTTTCATACTGAAGACATGCAGGTTTTGCTAGGAAAAATCTCATTGTTTGCCTTAAAAATATGTAAACTAAAATGTAAGGTAAGATTAAAAGCTTTCTCCAAATGCCTCTCATGGTTCGTTGCATTGTCAGCAGTTGTGACCCAAGTTCCTATTTCTTTCTAGATCAAAAGTGAAAACCCTTTTGTACACCATCTGTGCAAATAATGGCTGTTATATGATGCCTCATCCCACACATGGTTTTCATACATTTAAAAGGAATGTCAGGGTGAAAAACAATCGGTTTCATTGACACAGAGAATGAACTCTTCCACTCATACATTAGCATTCCTTTTACTTTCAAGCAAAAACGGGAAGGAGCACAGCTAGCTACCTAATAGGACATTACAATATGTTTTCAGGCTTTTAGGCTTGACATTTTGCTAGTAATAGGTAACTCTTTAAAGTATGATTTTATTTGCCATTGCTTCCTTTCCCTATGTATACAACAGTGTAAACAACAAACTTGTGGAATTTATGTTCTTAAAATATTGTCATTCAAAACTCTGGAGAAGTTCTGTGAACCTCTTCTCCTTTTTCTATCTTTAGGTCATTTTCTTCCTTTTTTTTTCTTTTTTTTTTGCCTCTTTTCATAGTTCAGTTAAATTGTAAGAAGGTGGAAGCTAAACTGTCCGGAGCCGGATGCTGTTTTTCCCCAGATGTATAGCGTTCTGGTCATATCATTACTGCTTTGTTCCAGGTTAAAATTTCCAAAAGTTTAGGATGATTGATTCATTTGGACCAATGTATTTTATCACTCAAGAATGCCATGTGTTAAAAGTGTTAAGAAAAGTTTGTTAAAGTCCTGACCATGTGAAAAAATGTGCTGAGCATCAGGACTTCCAGTTGTAGTTAGGAGCTGACAGCACTTGAACTTTGGGTACCGCACAGGACTGAGATTTAAAAGTCATGGGTTTTAAGTAGTTTGGTATGCTCTGGCAAGCTTCCTGTTCAGGATAAATTTCTGCTTGTTAATGTTTCATACCCTCTAGAAATACATGTACATAGTGAATGCTCTTACAGTCTGTTGATTTCTATAGATTCTTTTCTTTCTGACACGAAAGAGTCATATTTATTTAATCAAGGTAAATCAGTTCTAAGCTTTCTGAAAGTTGCCTTTTATTTCAGACATTTTGTCTTAACAATACTCTTTTAATATTCAATATATATATTCTTGTTACTTGTCAACCTAGTTTTCTAGGGCTAGCTCTTTATTTCATACAGTTACACTTTTTTTCTTTTTTTTTTTTCTGTTGCTAATCTACCCTAAATGTATAGAGTACCTATTGGTGTTTCTCACATTTGATCTTTTGCTTCGTTAACCTGTTACTGTCATTCATGTGTGATGGTTGATAGACTCAGGGAGCTTTGGCCTTGGGCATAATTATTTATTTTTACAAAGCTTTATAGTCTTATCTGTTATTACTGAGCTTTTATCTCATGTTGATTTTATGACTTGTGAATTGGATGAACTAGTCCTTAAAATTCTCTGTGGTTCTGCTGAGTGAAGTTTTTGCAATATCAAGTTACGGCAGAAACCTACACTTCTGTCTTTTGAAAACACAAGAAGTGTTAAGAACTTTTTTCCCTTAGCAGGTCAACTCTTCTTTTTTCCTAGTTGGCAGGCTATTAGTGACAATAAACATTATATTGCAAAGGTCACATTCTCTATGCGGTTTTCCCCAAAACTGAAATAACAGCTTTAGACATTTTCTTTAAATCAGCTTTTGAAACAGGCGGTGGAGTTGTCAGCTGTTTGATAAGTGAGTTGGGAGTTTCTGTGTACAGAACTGACAATATTGGTACTGGTAACTTTCTTCAGTCTTCTACACTTCAATTAGTGCATTAAAAGATAACAGTATAGTACTAAATCAAGCATTTGTCTGTGTGGATGGTGTAGCAGGAGAGAACTGCACTTTTGAGAAGAGAATTGCTATTAAAGCTATAAAACCTCGTAAAGAGATGGACAACTGCTCAGAATAAGGGTCCATCCAGGTCATGCTCTGTTTCCCAGCAGTGGCCACAAGCAATGTCTGGGGAAGAGCAGAAAAGGGCAAATGTGGGTAACACATCCCCCAATTTCCCTTGACCTCCGACCATTCAGGGTATTTCCAGAGCCTTTTATGATTTGTGTATCTAAGAGCTCACACTGGTTTTCCCCTCCAAGTGCTTGTCCAATTTTCTCTTGAACTCATTCTAATTCTTTGAGTTTACATTACTTACTGATATCTATAAATCTGCTACCCTTTGTGTGGAAAAACACTATCTTCCACATTGAATCCACCTCCTGCTTACTCAGCTTCATTTGTTATCCCCAAAGTCTCCTGTTGGGGTAGTCACACCTGCCTCCATGGCACTCCTGGTTTTGTAGATGTGTGCAGTACCTTCCTTAAGGCATCACTTCTCCAGACTGAAGAGACCCAACCTACTTGGTTATTATTTATGTGGAAGCAATCACATGTTTGGTCATCCTTGTTGCCCTTATTTTCTAACATCCTTTTTTGAGATTGGGGGCTGCAACTCCAAAAAATGAGAAAAAATGAATTTTAAAGGACATGTTTGCTTTCTCTGTTCTCTCCACCCTTCTAATTCTTAATATTTGTTCTGACTTACTGACTAAGCTGGTGTTTCCATGGAAGGTAACCCCCAAATCTCATTCCTGTCTGGTAGGAGCAAGGTAGGTGTCCCTCACAGCACAAATGAAATGATTCGGTGGGGACAGGAGAGGTCCCCATAATACATCACATCATATTTGACTGCACCGAATACCATTTGGTTGACTGATTACTTAGCCTTTAAAGTTTGGAATTTCTCAACCCGTGTTTGCCCTCAATGCAAACTTACCATCATCTAGTTACTCCACGGTTATTATTATTTTTAATAAAGATTAGTGTCAAATTTCTTTCCTCCAGACTTAAGGCACCAAGAAAGCTTTCAGAGGAAGGTTATGAGGTGCCATTTGTTCCCAATTAAAATTTCCAAGAGGTTAGAATGATTGTGTTTACTTAATTTCATGCAATTCACTTGATCACTGGAGGACTCCAGCTGAAGGGAACCAGAGCTTTGCTGTTTCTCACCTGCCCTCCCACGGAGCGCTTGGGTGGCTGTGGGCCAGGCTGGGTGATTTGTTGCTCTGACTGTTTGTATGACAGCCTCTCCCACAGTTAATTCGATTTCTGACCTCTCTACCCTGCCAAAAAGGACAGAGAAGTGGTAATGAGAAGGGGAAATTTGTTGAGTGACTAAACATGCCAAGAGCTGAACAAGGAAGAAATGCACTTGAGCATGCTGTGTGAAGGAGGAGGCCTTGTGTCACCATAGCTATTTTTTTAAAAAAGCTTTTTCTGTAGTTGCCAGGAATGATGTAGAGGAGCTTTTTAGTCAATACTTTAAACCTCTTCCACCCCCAAATCCCAGAGTTTACATACATATTTCAATTTACACTTGAAGACAAAGGGCATAGGTAATGCTTTTTTTTTTTTTTTTTTTTTTTAAAGCAACTTAACTGAATTTAACAGGGCAATGTTTACCTTGCACTTCAGATATTCAATATCAGGAATGAGCTACCACAGCTATAAACCAGAGTGCTACTACATGCTTCGTGCCAAAAAGCTTGGCATACACCCCCAGACTAAGTCAGTAAATCAATGTTCAAAGTATAAAATGCAAACAGAAGTAGTGTGTGGAGGGAGTGCCTTTAAGTTGCCCATATCTTCGTCCTGCCCATGAAAGATGTTACCGCCTGTGTGTATTTAGCCAGTTTTCGCACAGTTTAAGGATTTCAACTTTATTTCATTAAATTCACCCACCCTTTCAGTGACCTTTTGAGGGTAAGTGTTCTGGAGCCACAGTGGAAAGGAAGAGGGCTGTAGGGTCACAAGTGATGAACAGACAGAAACAACAAAAGGGGATCAAGTTTTTAACAGCAATATAATAATCTATAAAACAATGTTCATTTCTTTAAAGGGATGGGAAAGACATGGTGGATATTGTTACAAAATCGACAGTACCCCTCGAAGTTTTGAACATGCTTCCAGTGGTTATTTCTGCCCATCTGCACTTGTATCAGTAACAAACAGGTAGTTAATCCTATCAGACAGTGTGAAGATGCTTCTAACAAGAGCTATTCTAACTTCAGAAAGCATTGCATGGCAAAAGATATTACTATTATGAAATATTGTTTGTGTGAGAGTTGAGCATAATTACTAACATTGGTGAGAATAAAGGTTTGTTCTGCTTTATTTTTTAATTGAAAATAATTTTAGTAAAAAGCAGTTGTTAGTCTACTTTAGATGTATAGCAATGTGCACACGTGAGCATGCAGGAATCTAAACAAAGCACTTTATACAAAGGTATGTAACATCTTTAAGAAATTTTATCAGTGTACTTGGAAGCTATACTGAAAAATGACAGTGCGTTTAACTTTTGTGATCAAAATCTTTAAGATTTTAATCCAAATTAATTACTGTTTTATAAATGTTTTTATTTAGTTTTACATTTTACATGAATCCTCAGCAAACCCAGGGGAGAGCGTATATGTTTGAAGAGCATCTGACCTCTGTCTTCCTTTTTTTTCTATCTACCTATATTCCAGCCTCAGCAAAGCCTTCTTCTCCTCAGATGTCCAGATGCTTGGATTTTCTCTGGTCTGTTTATGACTTACCCTATATGTTGGATTCCAATTAGTTTGACATACTGCTATTTCAAATAGATATATATTATGCATGCTTTAATCTACACATATTTGTTTTTTAAAAAAATCACAACAGTAACAACAAAAACAAACAAAAAAGCCTTAAAGAGGAAATCTTCCATCCCTTTAGGACTCTGGGGAAGCACTGTGACCACTCATAATCAGATGTGCGATAGCTAGAAACTTCAGGAAAACATGGGCTACCCAACATAAGGTTTTAAATTAATGGAAATTTGGCCTGCTAGGTGATTTCAGGGTTGTGCAAAATAAATACGATGGTATACTGCAATGCAGCAATAATTCTTACTAAGAGAATAAAGGAAAAATTCTGGGCAGCTGAGTGTTTACAACTTAAACTTGAAAGGGAGCTAAGGGCATGCTGCACATCACTGGAAGCATGTGTTCTATGTTTTTCTCTTTACTTGTTTTTATTTTATTTTTGCTGGGTGTAGCCATCACTGTTTATTACGTTAGTTTCCAGTTCCAATGTTGGAGCAACAAAGGAAGCTAGGTTAGCTTAAATTTTAATTACTGCTTAGCTTTGTTGCTCTGATGTGACAAATGTAAAAACTTCTCAGTGTGTTGATCCTGAAACATTCATCAAAATTATATTGGATAGAAAGAGTTGATGTAAGAAGAGAACATGCAAAGGAAATGAAAAATAAATAAAGAAGTTCTCAGTCATTCAGTGTTACAGGTACATTCAGGTTTTTACATTAACATCATTCTTACTGTATTTAGCAGTTCTTTTCACAATCTGGAGGAAAAAAATAGAAAAGTTTTATAAGTCTTTATCAAGCTGAGAACTTTAACATGTATATTTTCATAATCTGATTAAATGTGCTTATAAACTAAAACATTTTTGTATAATGCTATACCAATTATATCTGAATAAATTACATTGAAGTGACAAGGGGTTGCTGTATGCAACCATTATTGCTTGAAAAAAATCTGAATGTCTCATCTAAGTTTCTAAATGAATAAATTTCAGAAGGAAAAACTAATTGCTTCTGCAGTCAAAACAGCTTGGAACAGCTGGTGCTTTGAATCCTTCAGCTCTGATTTTTAGTGCCATTTTGTGTGTCCAGTTCTAATAAGATACTTCTGTGCTAAAGCTTTTGCTTTTCTTTATTCTGTATCTTTTTGTGACCCTACTATCTTTTCTACTTTAAAGACTTCCTTACTTTTATCTGTTCATCATGAATATATTCTGTTTTAACATTTTGTAGCATAAGCATTGAGAGATTTCAATGTATGGTTCCTTGAATGTGCACAAATGCTGGAGAGCAAAAAATAAAAAGGAAGAAGAAGGAGGAAAAAATATGCTTGCTTTATACTACAGAGTTTTGTGTGAAATTTACCACAGAATTCTGTAAAGAAAATTAAATACATTTTAGATATTTTTCTATTCTTGGGTGATTACATTTTTTCATGATGCCTACTTGCCACAACACCAATTGACCTATATTCTAACAAGCTTTTTGTCCTGATCATTTTGTTAAGGTTTGAACAAGCTTTTATCACCAGCATGATCCATAGCATGGTAAAATCTGAGAGAACTTATTTTTGGATAGGTCTGCAAGACCTTAATAACACAGGAGAATACTTTTGGCTAACAACAGATGGGAAGAATCACTCTGTGAGCTACGCAAACTGGAACAAGCATCAGCCACGTGAGTAATGCACTGATTTAAAAACAAAAGCAAAACACAAATCAAAACAAAAAAATTACTTGTGGGGAGCAAAAAACTCTCACTACACATGGTTTGCCATTTTGGCATTTTATATGAAGAAGAGAGTATCGATTGTCTTACATACATTTCTGACAATAAGGACACTGTGTGGAGGTTTTTTTTTTCTTCTTCCTCTTCAGTTTGCTGATACTTAGTTTGCTTGTTTGATTTTTTTTTTTTTTTGCTTTATAGTAATACAAAGGAAAACATTACAGGAAAATAGAAATGAAAAAATTAAATAGCAGGTTAATGTACAGAACATTTGAACATTCAAATATGACCACCAATGTTGTTGCCAAGCTTTTGACTCTTTAGATGACTAGAATTTAAGTTCTTCATCTTTTGAAGCATAAACCTCTTAAAGATACCTGAGGAGACATGAAAATAAATATATGCCATTTCACTAATTTCTTCCAAGTTTTTGACTCTACATTTATTGCTTTACTACTGCAGTTTGTTAAAGTACTATTTTAAGTCACATTTTATCTCCTGCTTTTTGTGAAAGGAATCCTTTGTTCATTTTGCAAGCTCAAGTCAGCCAAGACAGGCTTACAACCTGGTCACTGACCAGAGAACTTGCTAGCTTTGTAATCCCATCAAGGTTTTATATAGAACCGGATGCCAATAAAACAGACATTTCACCAAAAATTCACAAAATTCCAGTGCTTTATTCCAGCACTCAATGCTTACTTCTGTGCTTTAGGTCATTCTGGAGGATGCGTGGCAATGCGCGGAGAGAACCCTGTTGGTTATTGGGAGGTAAAAAGCTGTAGGAATTTCAAAGCAATGTCATTGTGCAAGCAAAAAATCAATTCCTATGAAGAACCTGAACTTACTTTTCAAAGACATCTGAGTTCCTGCTACTTTGGATGGGAGTCTGAAGCCAACCTATTCAACTGCTACAAGGTAAGTGGCAAACTTGAATTCAGTTTCTCAGATTCTGCATCAGTGTAGGAATAAACTATTCCAAAAATATTTAGATAAAACATTTCTTCTACCTAACTGTTACCATCCTTCACTGCATTTTAAAGTGAATAAAGGTCTTTAAGACTTCAATTGGAACTATGTTAGAAATGTGTAAGACTTTATTATAGGAAAAACTGCAAATAATATTTGATTTTTATGGGCTTCTGAAACAACTTGCTCTCCAAAATCAACTGCATTTATGAGAGTGTTTATTTTATTGCAGATATTTCACAGTGAAAAAGTTCTGATGAAAAGAACATGGGATGAAGCAGAAACATTATGCCAAGATTTTGGAGCACATCTTGCTAGTTTTTCCCATATCTATGAAGAGACGTTTCTAAACAATTTGTTATATACAATTTTTGATAGGTAAGTACACTTTATTAACATCAACAAGGTTTATTTTAAATGTATTAATCTGTAAAAATAATGTGTGATTTAAGGCCTTCCGTGCTCTTTAATAGTATCTAAGGAAGTCTCTACTCTTGACTCATGAATTTAGAAATGGGTGAAAAGTGTAATACCAACACTGTAATGTGATTGTTTTTGAAGATGATCTTTGTAGTAGGTGTCAAATGACTATTAATGTCAGTGTCTTGTGAGTAATGTTCCCTGTAGAACTGAAGGTTCTGCAATTTGATCCTACTTTAAACATTTTCTTCTTTAAAATACAACCTGACATTTTAGAAACAAAACTAGATACTAAAATATAAATACATGTAATACAGTATGATACGTTGAGATAAAGAAATGGATGAGTATTTGCACTAATTGAAAAATAATCTGTGAAATAGCTAAGGAAAAAGCGTGTAAGAAGTATTTTTCTGCTCTCATCACAGGACAGAAGAAAGACAATTCTGGATTGGATTTAATAAAAGAAACCCACTTTCTGGAGGGACGTGGCAGTGGTCTGACAGAACACCTGTAAATACACATATACTATATATTTCAGAAACCTCTCAAGTAATACCTGTGCATCAGTTCCCCAAAATAAGCCGTGTGAACTGACAAATGTTGGCCAGGAAAGTTCTGCTTTTTTCACAACCACATACTACATTTAAAATAATTGTTACAGTAGGATTAACATTATACTACTATTAAAACAGCCTGTGCAAAAGGGTTGTACAACTGCAAAAGGAATTTAGTAGAATTATAAAGTTTTGTGGATGTGTGCTTTCCTGCAAAGCATGTTGTGGTTAGCCCAGGATATGTCACACTGCATTGTAAAAGATTTCTGAACAAGCATGTGGATTTTGGAGTACACAGAAGGGTCAGTTTTTGAACTGTAATTAGTTTTCAGCCGTAAGGAACGGTGCCAGCTCTGCCGTCACTACTTAAGTAATTGCAGAATATGAGTGCAAAGTTCAGTCATGTAAGGTGCTGAACCAAAGCAAAGGCTGTTGGGCTTGGACGACCACTGCTAATCATAGAATCCTAGAATATCCCGAGTTGGAAGGGACCCACAAGGATCACTGAGTCCAACTCCTGGTTCTACACAGCACCACCCAAAATCAAACTGTATGTCTGAGAATGTTGTCCAAATGCTTCTGGGCAAGCTTGGGGCCATGACCACTTCCCTGGGGATACTGTTCCAGTGCCATGTCAAAAACTGTTAGGTTTCATAGCTCTGCAATTTCTTTTACAAAGGTGGAGTCTGATTTAAGATAGGAAATTGAACAGGACATTGCAAGAAAATTAGTATGGATCCCATTTTTAATATTATACCACCATAACTTAGGTAATCCTCTAGTTCCCTAGTCTGGAAGTTACTTCTTCATGAAGCACATCTCCATATCCTTCCTTTTTTTTTCCCATTATAATTTTGAAATGCTTTATCTTGAATTTTCCCTTAAAAATAATGTCTGTGCTGTTTACAGGTTGTGTCTTCATTTTTGGAGAGCAAATATGTTGAAGATGATTCAAGAAACTGTGGTGTGTTCAAAGTAAATAAAACAGTCTTTCCTGCTCACTGCAATGAAAAACGTGAATGGATATGCAAAATACCAAAAGGTGAAATTTTAATTAACACACATTGCATATTACACCCTTGACTTGTAATTCGGAGGAGAGAAGAAAAAATATCTAAAAGACTGTTTTTTGTCCAAATCTCCCTATAGGTATTATGCATGAAAACATGGCAAAGCTGCATGCAGCCATTAGGGTTTGTTGGCCAGTTACAAAGACTTATCTGTGCAGGCAGGTTAAAAATGGGTAGCAATGATTAGTATTTAGTTAGCAGGAGTTAACCAAAGTCCTGATGTATAAAAGTTGCTAAAAATGCTAAGATTGCTAGGTGTAGCAATTTTTTTTCTTTTTTTTTGTCCCTGGACAGGAATAGCAACATTCTTCATCATTTTGATTAAATTCTCACCATGTGGAGAAAGTAATTTCAGTGCAGTATCTCTTCTCATTCTTAATCTGATGTGTTTAATTTATTTATGTATTTTTGCAGGTGTTAAACCAAAGAACCCAGATTGGTACATAGCTGGTATGAAAACCTTTTTTTTTTTTTTTTTAATTTTTTGTCACGTCTTGAAATATTATCATTAAAAAGTGTAATTTAAGCTGTTGGTAAAAATAAATAACTAAACTGTTTTAAGTTAAAAATTTAAATTATGTAACCTTGTAGGAACTTCTGGTTGCTACAGAAGAACATGTGCTGCTCTTTCGGTTAAGAACACTGAAACGTAAGATCCTACTTAGGTTAGATAAAAATATTGCTGGTATTACACACGTGAATTTGATATCCTCTCAATAACATTAAAATTGCCTTTTTGCAAAGTCCAGACAACCCTGTTAATATTGCTGTGTTAACACAGGATATAATATAAAGCCGAAAATTGCTAATTATCCATTCGTTGTCATAATTTGATCTGTCAAATACGGTTCTGCTGCTAGTTGTGGAATATTGTCCCGTGACAGGTGGCTGGAAGTAGGCCACGTGAGTTGCAAAGAACGTGAATTCCAGTGAGGTTTTATGCCTGCACAGCTCTCGCTCTTCTGCTCGTTTTCTAGAACTACCATGGTCGTATTACCAAGGAGCAGAGTATCTTTTCCACGTAAATCCTACGGACTGGGACACCTATGAGTTTATCTGTGGCTGGCTTCGTAGTGGAATGGCAACAATAAATTCTTCTGGTGAACAAGCATTTATTGAAAATAAAATTAAGAAGGTAACAAAGACTATAATTTTAACAAATAAATGCTCTCCCTGTTTTTTTTTTTACTAGTTATTTTCTGTTGCATATTTTGGAAAGTCTAATTGCCTATTACTTCAGGTAGAATCCAAAAGACATTTTACTTCAGAAATAATTTTCTGGCTGTCTTTATTTTTCACATCCCTCCTTGGGGCCCTGCTTAGCTAAAGAAGTCAGTGACATTTCAGAATCTGCATAATCATTGTGCTAATGAGCAGGTCTGTCTCCCTCAAGAGTTCTAAAAGGATCAAAAAACAGTTGTCTGTCCCAAAGTTATGAAAGTAATTAGGTAGACATGAATTCGTGTAAGAGAAAGACGTCTCACATGCATGTCCCACTTATCTTTTTCTGCTTCCACCCCTCTGCGACCAAGGGGATGCAGATACTAGCACAGCTGAGCTGAGTTCATGCTTGCCCCTCATGGCTCCTCAGTTGTTCATGTGCCAGTTCTGCACCCAGATGACTGCTCCTGATCCCACGCAGCTTCATAATTGCAGTTCGTTCCCATTCAGTGACTGGCAGCTGGTCTGGGAGCAGCAGTGCTGTGGGACACCTCAGTGTCCCATTATATATAGATATTTTATATATATATATATTAGCATGAGAGGGGCAGTACATCCAGACGTTTGAAACAGTCTTCATGGTTTGAATCTTTGACGCCATGATTGGAAAGATTAATCCTGGGCAGTGCTGGCCAAAGTGTTTCCTGAGTTCAGAGTACTGATTTCCCTGCACCTTAATCTAGTCTAGAGCTTCAAACCCTTGTTATGGGTTCTTATGACCTTGGAAAATACATCAGTTTTTCCTCTGTGTATGTCACCTTGGGCAACATTCCCCTATTTCTGCAGCTTTGTATGGTCTCTCCTGAATAAGACCCCTTTAATACTGGACATATTTATATGGAAAAAGACACCTGGCTCTAAATTCCTCTCTGTAGGAAAGCAGAATTTCTGTAGAGCTACAGTGAGGTAACACAAGTTGAGAAATAACTGCAGAAGCAGATGAATTTCCAAGAAACAGTGTGTTTTCTTTTAGGTGTTCTCAGTAAAATGAAAGAAGGAAAATACAAAAAAAACTCCTCATATAATAACTGAAAAACTGTCTGCCTTACTGAAGGCAAAATCCTTAAGTTGTAATGTAAAGGGATAGCAAAGCGTAATCAGTAGAACAACAACTAGTGCTGAGCCAGAAAAGCTCTCGACTTATGCCTATGTAGTTTTGCTTGCGTTATGTACAGCCTTCTCTGCTTTTAACATAAAATAAAAACACAAGGACGGTTGTTCTCTAGTAGGATGGTATTTTAAGTTTCTAGTGAGTTATGTGTCATTTTTGTCTTTTGCTAAAGTGATTTTGTATCAAGACATCTAAACCAGCAGTTCATGGCAGAAATAGCTTACTGTGGAAGAGCAGCATAACTTGATATAGCTGTCTTCATCCATGTCTACTAGAGACTACTGTGCTGTCATGAAATTACTGTCCTATCTAAAACTGTATGCTTGTGACTTCAAAAATGACAAAGCTGTAAAAAAAGATGTATTTTTCCAACTTAACATCACTTAAAATGGCTAACCAGGATGCTTCTTTAAAGTCATATTTACTTACAAGAGATCTTTCAAAAGCAGCTTCATAACTGAAGTAGTGGATATCGTAGCATTTGATGGTGAGAATGCCAAGTTTACGCCATTTGCATTTGAAATTGGGTTAACTTCAAGCTTCATTTCAGAATATGACAGATTGAGCTATTTTAAAACCTGCTGCCTTTGGCTAAACTTTTGCAATACAGCCAGGTGTGTCCTTAAATGCTTGTAACTGATTTTCTGTGGAAGCAGGAGTAAGGATGGCAATCACTAAAATAATAATGAGGAGTCTGGATAGAATTTGTATGTGCTATTAGAAAACTTTGTAACGATTTCTTCACACAGGATTTAAAATCACATTTTTCACTACTGTAAAAATTGTGATGTATGCTAAGTGCTATGATTAGAAAGCTGAATTCAGGGCCCAGTCAATATCAAACCAGACAGCATTACTTAGAACCTGTTCTTTGTCCAAAATGTTGATTTTTATTTTTTTTAATTTGATATTGCTATATATGCTGTTAGCTTATGAAATCCTAACTAACTCTAAGGGCTGTATGGCTGCCAAAATACACAGGGCACTTAAATTCTTTCTGGAGAAAAAGTAATGCTTCCAAATGGCCAGATAACATTTACAGTGCCCTGTAACATTCATAACCTTTTTTTTTTTTTCCTTATTGACTTTCCCATTGACCCCCAAACCGTGACTCTTTGACTGATCTTGAAAGTGAAGGCTTCTTCATAGTTTAAATCAGAATCAAGTTAGCACAGCAGTAATAAGTGGTTGTTTGAATTACATTATTTCTGTGAATTATCTATAATACTTTGCCATTTAGGACTGGAAGTCTAGAACCTTTCATGAGCATAACAATCAGTCTAAAAAGCGTGTTTATGAATCCATTGTATGAGCTATAAGAAGTAATGTAAATGCTCTTAGAAAGCATACTGGAAACATCAGGTCTATCTAATGCTCAGAGGAAATATTTGTACTTTACTAAAAATAGATAATTACTTAAGTTATAGTTTTGAACCAAGACTACAGTAATTGCCAGGGCAGATAGGCTGTAAATTCCTTAAATTGACAACCTAGTTACATCAGCAGTCCAGTGGAAACAGGGCTAAATCATGCTTTACTTAGACGAATAACCTTGCTGAAGGCAGGCAGAAGTAGTCCCAATAAATTCACACAGGCAGGGTTCAGCACCTGTTTTTCCATCTGAACCCAAAAGGAGATGCTATTTGCCTGAATACAAACAGGGTCTGGTTTTAGGAGTTTGTTAATGCTTTGATAAGAGGGCAACAACAGTTAAACATATGGCAAAACATTTTTTATTTTTTTTGTAGCTATCGAATAGTGATGTTCACTGGTGGATTGGATTGCACGCAGAAAATGCCAGCAATGAATTTCGGTAAGCGTGTGCTTCAGCTGCTCTGATTTGTACTTGGCATGTCTTGTTTACAAGCTGCCGTTCAGTTTGATGGACTAAAACTGTTTGATGACTGAGTGGGATATTCAAGAGACAACTTCGGCTTTCATGTAAATACCATTCAGAATACATTACCCTTCATTTATTTCCATGTTACAGTATTTCTTCTGAAAGGGGTACAAAAGATGAAAGCCAAAGGCTTGACTACCAACCCATTCTTCGTTTGTTTTAACGCTTAGTTAATAAATGGGCACTTTTTACCCTGTATCTACTTACAACACTTTTAATGGGGGCTGTATTTTTAGGTCAGGACAGGGAAAAGCGTAACTACACTCTTAACATTTCTGTGCAGCTGGAGAGATGAATCACTAGTAACATATCAGAACTGGAATGAAGGGAGAGAACGAGATCTGCATAAACCAGGGAAAAGATGTGGCTTCATTTCATCACAAACAGGTTCATTTTATATTTCCTGTTTTGCAGGAGTTGTGAATTGATTCTGTTGTTTTCCAAAGGGGGTTATGTTTTTAATCGCTTTCAAGAAGTGCAGTTTGTATTACAATCTTGTTACGTGGTTATAGATTGCATAGCTGTTTCTACGGTTAAGAAAAGAGCAGCAAAGTATCATGAATTTTCTCAGAGACAAGGTGATGGGGCTTAAAAGTATATTAATAGTTCTAGTATTTTAGTGTCAAAATATAAATACCCCAGTGATACTGAATCTTTAGTTCTACTTAAGAATCTATTATGTGGCACAGCAAAAAGTGTTGATGCGTTGCTGGTTTTCACAGTCACTTTTCTCATAACCAAAAGAGCCAGATGGACCGAGCTGCAATTTTTCCTACTTTCAAAAACTGTTTTTATATCAGCAAACATTTTTAAATACTCAGGTTTCTATCTCATTTTTGATCACATAGCCAATCTGCTGAAGAATTTTGGGTACCATGTTTTGTTATCTAATGGTGCTAGCCTCTACATTGTCACATAGATCTTTCTTTTGCTACTGTAATAAAAAATAAATTAAAATGTTGCCAGTTCCAGTGATTTTTATCATTTCTCAGTTTCTGTTTTCTGATTTGTGAGTCATATGATAAGGTAAACATGTCAGGTTCTTTGGAAGAAAAAAATATCCAGCTTTATATTTATGAGAAGAGCTGAAAAAAGTGATCCAGTTGCACTCTTGTAATCCAAAAGCCAAAACTGAAAAGAAAAAAAAAAGGGGGGAAGAGGATCCCGCCCATTCCCATCAGCTGGCCAACAGATGGGAGCAGGTCAACAAATTGTTGAGTGCATTGTGTTCCTCTGAAAAATCTATTTTCCTTCTAAGCAGGTCAGCACTGGATGTCAGTACCTGCATCTTGCCAACAATTTTCAATGAAAGGAAGTCAAACTATTTTATCTGGAAGACGTAATTTCTATATGCTTCCTCTTTTTTTTTATATATAATTGATTTTTGATTTTTTTAAAATGATGATATAGGCATATGTTACATGACTCAGCGTAGAGGAATTGGTTTAACTTAATAAAATCAAACTGTGAATAAAAATATGAGCCCCATGGACCATCACATGTACTATAACATGATATGTCCAAATGTGTTTGATGTAGGATCTTGACTTGTTCAACCAATAAAGGGGATACCCTTCTTAACAATATCTAAGCTAACAAAAATGTTCTTTCCAGTTCTCAGGTGAATATTGAACTCTGATTTTTTTTTTTTCTTTTTACACAGGACTCTGGGGTGATGAAAACTGTACTGTTTCTCTTCCTTGTATTTGTAAACGTAAAATTGCATGGAAAATTGAGAAAGAGATTCCAAAAGACCAGAACCAACAAGGAATATGTCCCAAGGGCTGGTTGCACTTTGGATTCAAAGTAAAACATTTTTTCCTGCTGTTTGACTATTCAAAATGCATTCCATATTTATGACAGAAATTGGACTTCCTGAAGATTATTCAGTATTTAAAAACTTTCTTAGTTTTTGAAAGCAGGGTCCTTAGATTTATGAATACTGACACGGTGATATGAAAGTTTATGGCTGTTAAGTAGCTTTGTACAAAGAAGATGCCTTAATACGGTGTTAAATTCTACTTTAGTTCAAGGAAATGTATACTTATTTATGCAAAAGCTTTCTAAGCATATTTATACATATGCCATCAAAAAGCCTGTTCCATGCCTTTTCCCATTATGACAATTCTGTTATGGCCTAAAAACAGAACTCTGACCCCTTGGTGTACACAATGGATGTCATCCTCCTAAAGATGTGGTTTCAAATATTGTTTGTCAAAGATGCTTATAAACTGAAGCCTTTTTGAAATCGAAGTTTCAAAGGCAGTCACTTCATTAGGCTTTTCTTAAACACATACATTCCATAACGGTGACGTGCATTGAGGTGTCCAGGCTTATCCCAGTGCTAAAATGCAGTGACTATAATGATAAATTTAACCTAGATTACATTTATTTTTAAACAAACACTTTGAATCCAAGCCTAAGTGCAGCTGAACACCAATACCAGGAATGTGGAAATGATCCAATACAGGACAGAAACTAATGAAATAGGTAGTTTCAGTAAAGTGTGTGAAGTGTTTCAGTGGCAATGATTCAAATCCTAATTAGCCCACCTGATGGTATCCAGGGGTTCTCAGCAGGACAGGTTAGACACTGGAAAAGCAGGGAAGGAGACCTGTGTCTTTATGTGAAATGCAGTAGTACACTACTGACCGCATGGCATCATCTGAGGTTGTGGATCCAGCACTTTTAATAACTGGTGAGCAGTTTAAACTGGAGGAAAAACAAAGCAAGTCTTTTATTTTTTGAAACAGTGTTTTTTGATACAAATTCCAAAGGATCCAGACCACCTGAGGAGCTGGTACTCTGCACAAGCATTCTGCAGTAGATATGATGGTTCCCTCGCTTCCCTTGAAGATGAACTGGAACAAGGTAGAATACTGAACATATTTTTAAATAAATGAGATTTCATCTTCACTGTGATGCTTTAATAAGGTTTAATCTTGGATACAGATTTAGGAAAAAAGATCACACAAATCGCACTCAGGTTTCCAGTGCTTTAAACAGATCAGTATGTGTTTTCTTTCCTGTTTTCCCAAAATATAAAGAATACAACATCACACTGTTGTCAAAGCAATCTTATTTTTATCTATTAATATTACTTAAAATCTGATCTATATTATAGCACAAAGTGCTAGGCTGGAAATGTTAGTGAAGTGAATGCTAGCACATTCAGGAATATTTAAAATCCATATTCACAAAAATCTGTGGTTGAATTCCATGCATTTGTAAAACCTTCTGTTTGGAGGTGGCAAGAATCTAATTGGCTAACTTTGAGAAATATTTCTTTTCACCAAAATGAAAAAAGTTTTTTCAACGATCCAGTACCCTGAATAAAGTTGTACTCCAGCTTGAGTTGTTCGAACTACTGTCACAATTTCTAGAAGACTTAATAGGCTAGCTCTTGACCCAGCTGAAGTTAATTAGTGCTACTGAATTTATAGCTAGATGACAATGAAATGCCACTCATGTTCCTGCTTTCTAGTAAGTAGGTAATGCCTTTGATTGGTAGTTTTATTTTTCAGTGCTTTAATGTGTTGGAAGAGACTTCAACCAAATGGTTACCAGTTTAATGTATTTGATATTTTACTTCTGTTTTCATTTTTCAGCTTTCATAACAATGAATCTATTTGGACGGAAAACTAGTGTTTGGATAGGTTTCCAGAGTGATGATTATGAAAAGTGGGTGAATGAAAATCCTCCAATGTATTCCAATTGGTCTCCAATTCAAGCAGTGCATGTGAGTATTTCTGAGGCTTTTAAGGACATTGAGTTGTTGTTTTGGCTGTAATCATCATAAATGCCACAAAGACAAGGCCAAGCTTGTTACAGCAACTTAGTCTTCTCTTAACTTCTGCAACTTCAGACAACTGTGGGCACAATTTTATGAGTGTAGCTAGAGGTTGCAAAAAGAGCACCATCTAGACAGTTATTTATGTAATTTATGGCTGTAGTCCCATTATTTTACAATTTCAGTCAAGCGCTGGGATTTAAATTATATGGTTGGTATCTTATACTAGGTCTGAGCAAAGTTTATGAATAATATTATGAATTTCATATTTTAGTATATTTTCTACACCAAGTTAGTTAGTATTTTGGTTAATGTTTTAGTTTGTTCAGTGCAAGTTTGCAACATGTTTTCCTATGAGGCCAAATAGCATTTATGTGAATGTTCATTGTTCTACCTAACTACATATATATAATAGTGAGTTTCAGCTAATTATTAATTATGTCTTGTTTTACATAGCGTCTTTTATAATTAATGTAAGATTCTGTGTTGATTGCAGAGACAGCGTTATAATAGTGCCAACGTTGAAGAGCAAGTTCCACTTTGTACATTGGTATCAAATAGCCCCAATTTTTATTTTACGGGAAAATGGTACTTAGAAAACTGTGAGAAAAATTATGGGTTTGTTTGCCAAAAAAAGCAGGGTAAGAATTTGTTTTGGTTTACTTCTATTCTCATTTGTTTTTGTGTTGAATTCCACTTTATTCACTTTATTTCCATCTAGAAGCAGCTTGTAAGAGGTGTCTATAAAACCAGGAATAAAAAAGATTTTTAAGGTAGTTTTACTTCGATATTTCATCAGACTAGCTCTACACTATTTAATAAATCAATAGCTGTGATGTTGAAGTAATTTCTCAAAAAAATTTTTGCTGTTAAATTTTGTTCCTAGCTTTGAGCTACATATTGTGGATTTAAGACTAGAGATGGAATTTCATGTTGTCTGTCATTGTAAGCAGAGTAGCAGCATGAAATTACAAAAGGCAAAACAGGATAATTTGGATGAAAGTATTTGTTGTTGTTGGACTTGTAATCTCGGACCAGACAAGACTCTAGAAGATGTATTTCTGTGAACAGTGCAAGCCAATTGGCTGATCAGTCGTAGCTTGCCTTTTTTTCTTGTGCTTTTCTGGTTCTGTCACTGTAACGTCCACTTGCCAGAAGCAGCAGGATTTCACAGGGAACGCACGTTGTTGTTTCGCTGTGGTTTTGCTCGAGCTGAGCAGCAGAGCTGCCTCTCGGGTGGGAGCTGCTGCTGACCCTGAGCACGTCCTGGGCATTGCTGGTGCTGCTGTCACAGCATGTTACCAAAATGGACTGGAGGCAAAGTGTGCACTCTAAAGCCAGGGCTGGGCTGTCATCTGAGCCTTTGTGGAGCACCCCTGGGGGCTGTACTGGATGCGTGGTGGTTGTTTAGGATGGCTCAGCTTTATCTGTCACCTCATAGTTAAGCCCTAAAGAGGAAGTAGCTCCTGCGGCTCTCCGCAAGAGGCTCAGTGGAGTAAATAGAGTAAACCAGCACACTTTGGGCAGAACTCACATGTGGCTCTTGCAAACCATAACCATGTTTGACATCATTTATTACAAAGCTCAGTTGTGGGGAGTGCAGGAGTAATCTTGCATACAGTATAGGGAAGAAAAAATGCATTTTCCTCCTCTGATTGGTTTGTGTTTACATTTTTATCTTAACCCCCATGCTGCTGCTCCAAACAGGCAGAAATGGCTTTAAAAGGCTGTCCAGGAGGGAGATCTTAACTGGGATCTAATCTCACAGTGATGCTTGTATTAGGACTCTGTCAGCATTTTACTATATTTCCTAATTTATTTTTTTAAGCATTGACACACACTGAAAGCTGGAACAAAATGGAGTGCTTCAGTAAGCTCAAGAGCAGAACTTGTTCTGCTTAGAAATCTCAAACTGTAAATGATTTGTGGATTACAAATAATCATTTAACTTCTTTAAGATGCTTGTTAACACTCCTGTTAGCTGTAAAGGAAACTGAATTTATAAACACTCCACATCTTAGCGAAGCAACTGTTCATCATCCCTTCAGTTGTGTCTGTACAATCATTTGTGAGTCCACATACTGTGCTGTGAACTGAGCTTGGAAAAGATTACAAATAACCCTTCAAGAAAGAACTGCTCTAAATTACATGCAAGGAGTCAGGGTTAAGAGCATGCTACAGCCCACATCTGGGATATGGCCAAATCCCATGCGATTTCCTGCAGACTTTCAAAGGTCCGCTCAGTGGAACCAGCTCCATCCAGGTTTTTGTTTTGGACACATTTTATTCGTTCACTCTTGTCATGAGTTTTGTGGTATGATCGAATTTCAGATACTGTTCTAGTAGTCAACTATTTTGTTTGCCATGCTTCCTGAAATCAAGGAGTTTGCAATCTTTAGATTTGTTTTTAAGCATAGTTTTACTTTCATTATTTGTTCCACTGTGTTCAAGCTGTCCATTTAAAAAAAATTAATCTTTTTACTGTTTATAACAGACACATCCAGGCATGTCATCAATGCATCTGAAATGTACCCGGTGCCAGATACTTTAGAGTATGCAAACAGAACATATAACCTAATACGTGGGAATTTTACATGGTCTGGAGCTTTAAAAACCTGCATGGCAAATGGAGCTGAGTTGGTCAGCATTGCAGACCAGTATCACCAAGCGTTCCTCACAGTCATTGTGAATCGGCTGGGATACAACCACTGGATCGGGCTGTTCACTGCAGATGTGCGTAATGGATTCCCTGTCTATGTGATTTATTTTTTTTTCATTAGCAAACTAATAAGCTGTATCATTCACTAGAAGTTATGTGAAGTTTTCAGCTGGAAGTGAAACTCTAGCATGAGCCCTAGCTATGTTTCGCAACATGATACATAGATTTAATGAAAGATGGTTTGATGCAGAGAGTACTGAAAAATGAAAGCCATAGAAAACATTAAAAAAAAAAAAGAAAAATTTTATATATTGTAGTGTTAACATTCAAATTATGATTCATTTTGAGCTGCTTTATGGCTCAATAATCACTTGCACTTGATGACCCAAATACCCACCCACCAAACAGAACAGCAAGGTAGATGTAGCTTGTAGTCTCCTAGAAATAAGTCGGGAGAGTCTTTGGAACTGCCTTTTGTTTATAACCCAGCCTAGGAGGGGTAGAAGGAGCTCTGGTCAAGATGCCACCAGAAGAAAAGGCATTTGTATGGCAGTAAAGTATATTAGAGGAATAATGTAAAATTTGGTTTGGCAGAACGGGCTTAACTTTGAATGGTCGGATGGGACTAGGTCCTTGTTCACCTTCTGGGAAGATGACGAGTCCCAGGCCTTTGGCAGCTGTGTGTATATGGATACCTCGGGGCACTGGAAGAGCGCAAACTGTGAACGACTTCTGCAAGGAGCAGTCTGCCATGTGCCACCTAGTAAGTTGGAGTTAAGTTTTGCAGCTGCGAAGATTTAATATAAATGTGTGTAGGGGCAGTGGAAGCATATGAAAGGAAATAAATCAATTTGAGGTTAAGCAATGCTGATACTTTATTCAAAACTGATATATATATATATATTTTGGTATTTTATTGCTGTTATCTCCTATTTGCAAAGCCTTTTGTTTCCCATAATATATTGGCCATCAGGTCCAGTCCATCTGAAAATGAAAAGAGAACTGCCATAATAGGAAAGAAACAAGAAAATTACTTTCTCTCTTCAGTGAATACTATATTACCTGAGAAAAATGATGATTGTTAATAACTAGCTTGAAGGGAAATAAATTCAGTTTATTACAATTAACTGTCGAATGGGAAAAGAGAAACATTTAGTGCAAAGTGAAAAAATAAGTCACATCTTCACTGATTGCACATAAAAGATTTTGCAACTTCTTTTTTTAAGTAGAGGTGAGAATAATTTCTTGTATCCTAAAATACATTTAGTGTCCTTAGAGCTCTACCAATTACCTGGTCTTCATTTGAACATAGAATTCAGGTCTGGAACTGCACTCAGCTCTCCAAATTGTAGTCGCCCTGACTCAGGGAGGCTCTTTGGCACAGTATGTTGTACACTGGAGAGGCTGGTTGCTGCACTCCAATGGGAAGCTCCAATGGAAAGCTCTCATCTGCCTCTGTGCCACGGTATTTGGCATTCAGTTATCTTTGTGGCTTTGTGGAGAGAAGCTTTGCAGCCCCTGGAAATCCCTCGGAGATGCTGAGCAGCCCAGAGTGCCTGCCGGATGCTCCTTAACTCCCCGTGCACATCACTCTGTGTTAGATAAATATCCTGCTATTACTGTGCAAGCCCTCAAGGATTTTCAGCTGGAATAAAACCAGCTTTACAGTTCTAATACAAATGTATACAGTTGCTAGATTTTCACTTTGAAAAATAGAGACATAACAGAATAACATGCTTATTAGCATTATTCCAAAACAGTGTGTGGTATGTTATATTAATGTGTATGTTGTAGTGCCAATAAAGCTGTGCTGTTATTTCTATCACAGAGAAGAAACTCACTGACTATAAAGGCTTATGTTCAGAAAAAACTGTTCCCTGGATCAAATTCAAAAACAGTTGCTACAGTTTTACCACAGTTCTCCAGGGCACAAGTTTTGATACTGCATATGAAGTCTGCAGAAATCAAGGTAAGTGATTATTTGGTAGCTGTAAAATGTCATCATGATATCGTAAAAACCCCCATTCTTCTGAAAATCACAGCATGTATTTTCTCTAGTGCAAGATAACAACAGTGGAGCTCATAAGCCAACTACAAAATTGGAAGCTATATACATCAAAAAATGTTCCTTTCTGCATGAAAATACTGATTTCTGGAATAAGACACAAAATGTATTTCTTCACTTCAAAATTGTTTTAAAATGATGTGCAAAGAGTTTTATATCAACCTGAGCATTTTCACATTAGTTGCAAAATTTAAGAAGTTATAATGTATAACCAGACATATCAACCTTTTCAATTAAGGTTCCTCATATTAACTTTTTAAAAGGCAATGTTAATTTTCAGTTTCAGGAATTGTTTGAAAATCTGTTTTGTGTTTAATCTACAGGATCTAATCTTCTGACTATTCAAGATGAAGATGAAAATACCTTCATTCTGGAAGAATTGCACAGTTTGGGTTATTCTGTGCAAATGGTTTGGTTGAATATCCTTCATGTTACAGATAGTAAGTTTTTGGTAGAAGAGAACTGAATGTAAGAATACGGATTTTTTATTTTTTTTAAATGCTGGTATAAGCCCCATCCAAAGCAGTATTATCTTTTGAAACTTTTTTCACTGTTTATTACCTGTTTGTTGTGTACCAATTTTTTTCTGTAATCGTTATTTAATAGGTTTCTGAAAAGTCAATATATATGCATGTGTGTGAGGGCCTTAATTTGCTTCTTAAAGAAACACTACAGGCTATCTTCTGTATCAGCTATGTAGTACGTTTTTAAATTCTTAAGCAACAAAAAAGGATTATAATAGCCAAGCAGACAAAATCCTGGCATTCCTTTAATACAGTATTATTTTTTGTGTGTGTGAAGGTAAATCCAACTGAAACACAGATGCTTATCAAAGCATGCTAACATTTTATAATGATTTATAACTTCTGCCCTTAGATGAGACAGTCTCCTGGTCTGATGGCTCTCCCTTAAATTATTCTAACTGGGGCATCAGAGAGCCTGAATTTGATCATCTCAAAGGAAATTTCTGTATCAGCCTGAGGACCACAGATGGTATATGGCAAATATCTCCGTGCAGAGAAAAAAAAGGATTTGTATGTAAAATGGATGCAGGTATGTGCTTTCATAGAAGCAGGCAATCGTGTCCTTATAACCATTGTTTATGTGTTCCTTGTTACTTTCTCTTAGTTTTCATTTAAATAATTCTGTCGTTTTGTACTAGAAAAAATATCTGTGGAAGAACAAACCAGCCAGGGTAACCTCCCTATGAGGAGCCTGTGCAGCCTTTTTGTTGCTGCATGCTGCAGTAGACTTTCTTTTGCATGGGTGCACAGAGAGCCAGGCTGAGCTTCACAGACCCTGCAGTATGTGCACCTGCACGGATGTGAGCAATGGGAAAACATCTGCAAGAGACCTGAAGTGTTGTGAGAGCTCACCCAAAATGCCAAAATCACTGCAGGGACCAATAGCTCAAATAATGCACCACTGCACTCTTCTGTTCATGTATTTGCACATTCTAAAGCGCATAAATGCTGTTGTTCATCCTTGCCACAATGCCAATTAATACATTCCTCTGAACTTAAGATATTTTAGGTAACAGATTTGGTCATGTTTAACTTGGCCTGTTGTAATCCTATTGACATGAGTCAAGTTAAACAAAGAACAGCCTGCTCTTGTATGTTTTGGGGCAGATTGTCTTCTGAGTGTCAATGTTACACTGAGTGTATATACTAATTTTTGTTAGTTCTGTCGATAGTTTTCTAACTGTTCTGGATTCTATTTCAGATATTGATGCAACAGCACCCTCTGAAAAATGTAAGTTCTTTCCGGTCCTTTCTTCATTTTTATAAGGAGTAATAATATGTTTTGAGTTGATATTTTGTGAGATTACTTTTTGTAACTGTTAAGCCTGTGATTTAAAATGCGTATGAAGAGTGCTTTACATAAAATATTTGTATTTTTGTATTTAAAATAACTCATAAATGAAACTATATTTACATAATAACAATCTCTGTTCTTCCATTTCAGCATCATACCCTGGGCTTGCAGCTCTGGCTGTTCTTGTAACATTGGTGATGCTGGCTGCCATTTCCATTTTTTTGTGGTGCCTGTACAAACAGAACAACAGACTCTTCAGCAGGATACTGTGGATTAGAAATGCCTATTTCCCACAGATTAACGCAGACGTTCCTGCTTTGGAAGAAAGCATCCTCATTTCTGATTTTGAGAGAGATGACAATTAATCCACTGGGAGTTACAGCAGTCACATCTTCAGTGTTACACTTCACATCCTACAGCATTTTTCTTTCCGTGAACCAGTTGCAGCTCATTCTCTCTGCCATCAGCAAGGACACCTAAATGCTGCTGGAAGAGCGGCGAGAGGAGTGAAGCAGCAGCCACTGCTCTTCCCTTCTTTTTGAATTTGTTGCAGCAAAGTTTCTGAAAGGTTTTCATGGTGAGCTGTGAGGAGCTGAGCACCAGGCACATCTGATCTCACCAGCACCAAGCCCAACCTTCCTCAGTGGCAGAGGGTCTGCAGCCCCTTCTCAGGTGACCCAGGGCACGTAATTCTGGAGAAACCCTTGTAGCTTTGCGAGAAGCATGCAGGGGCTGCTGTGCTTGGACTGCTTTGGCTTGGTGGCAGAATTTGGTGAGGATGCACAGAACTGTGGAGAAATTGGCTTCTTTGGGAAAAGCTGAGAACTGAAAACACTCCCATAGTATAAACCTCAAACCCCTCATGTGGAACAATTGTGTCTGAGCCCCTGAGCAGTGGGCATTTCCATGCAGCTTCTTCCTTCAGGAACGTTTGGGCTTTTGTGCTTTGTTTTTACATGTTGCAGAAGCTGCTCATGAGCCAGCATTAAAATTTGTCCTTGTATTTAGGAACTCTGAAACCTATTCCAAGGATTATAGGTTAGTTCTTTCTAATACCCATTGCATCTGTAAAATGAAGAGTTAATTTTCAGGCACTGGATCCTTGCCAGGTGGATTTCCAAGCCTGCAGAAAAATGAAGTGACTTTTGATTTGGGAGTGTCAGAGCTGTGGTAGTTTGTCTAGTTTACATTATAAAATATACTAGGCTAGAGATAAGATGATGTATGGACTTTGTCATCCTAAAGTTAATATATTCAATAGGGATGCTTCTGGTGCTCTGTTAGAAAACAATGTGATCTCTCACCCTGGTTATTTCAGAAATCAAATCCCATCAACCTCTTTTAAAGACACTTTGGGACAATATCCATTTGAAGAAAAATACTGTTATGAGTCTTGTTAATGTTACAGTAATAAATGGCTTTGGTGTTCACCTACAGTATTACTGCAAGCAGTATTTATGTGCACTCTTCTGAGACTCAGCTCTCCAAACATAGGGAGAAGATGAGGGAGAATCACATCTGCAGTTCCCAAAGGATGCGCCTCTCTCTAGTCAGAGAGTCCTGTAATCCCAAAACACACCCTCAAAAGGCTGCTTTTCACTTTCAGTCATCATACTAAGGTGCTAATGAAGGAGTGAGCTTGCACTGGCCAGTTGTTCCTCCCAGGCTGGTGGTTTTGCAAGACCCAGTGTCAGGTTACAGTGGTCCAAAGTGGACATGCTGACTCCCTGGGGGACTCCCACAACCCTACCCAATCCTCCAGCCACTCCTGTGAATATATCTGAATGGCTTTTGGAGGATTTTTTATTATTATTTTTATTGCAGAGTGGAAAAACAAAATGTTAGTCACAAAGAGTTACCTCAGCATGTAATTATTGTGCCTTCAATCATCTCTAAAGGCTGCTGTGAAGGGCTGTGCATGTTGTTGGGTCGGTTTGTTTGTTTGTTATGCAGTGACTCATTCTAAGAATTTTGCAAGAGCCCTAAGATGGAGGCACATTTTTGAGAGTTTAGCAAGCAGCCAAAGCCAACTGCAGTGTTTTTATTTAGTATTTATGCACGTACAGAGGAATGTATGACTTCCTTTCAGTTGGATTTCACATGGCCAGTTCTATAAACATTGCAAAAATTGCCTTTTCATGTCATATAATTATGTCTAGGGTTATATTTTTCTTAATTACTTGATACATAGAACATTTCTGTGCTGGTTTACAGAATTCAAGAAACGTGGTCAAGGAGGCTACAGATGCATTTGATCCCAATACAATTTTCATCTGACTTTTTGAAAAAAAACTTCTGTGGCTGTAACTATTAGATGTTCTTATTCTGATTTTTTTTTTTTTTTTTTTTCCTGTCAGGGGATTTTTCCATCAGATTTTTTTATCAGAAAAGCTGAATAGCTTTTCTCTGTATATTTTGTCTAGTGGTTTGACCCCATCCATTAGTCTTCAGGAATGTTTTTGAAGCTTGGCTGTGGATCTGCAGATTTATGTATGGGACTGCTTGTATGTGAAGCCCACTATTACAGGTTGTGCACTGCAGCTTTGGAGTGCAGTTGCAAGACCATTTGCTATTTGTGTGTATGAACTGTGATAGCTTCCATGGGGCTAATTTTGCAGTATCTCACATTTAAAAAAAAAAAATAAAAGATTGTGACCATCACTCCCTTCCCCGTGAGAATTTCACCTATTTAAATACAGTTGGAGGAGCTAAAACCAACATCTTTCCTTCATCACATTCACTGACACGTGTACACACTGCCTTCTTACAGCAGTTAGAGTGGCTTGCAGGATGCTATTTGCTTGCAACAGTAAGCTGGGTCACCTCAGAGGACGTGCATTTATCAGGCTCTTACATTGTTACCCAGTTAAGCATACTGTCAGATTTTGATGTTAATGAAGGTGTATATTTTTTTCAAAAAAAATTGACATAGGCATTTTATCAATTTTCCTTGAAGTCTGTTGTAATCATTTTTAATATATTTGAAGGGCAGTTGTATAATAAATAACCCTAACCTCAAAATAGTGATTGTTGATTAACATAGACTATGATGTACGTGATCTTGCATTAAGGGAAAAACAGTTCAAGCAGTGTTTTCTTCATGCTTTGAAATAATTCTAAGGGAACAGTCCTGTAAATATTTATTTTAAAAATCTTTCATCATTTAACTTTTCTAATTGCAAGTATTATTCACTCAAGAATGTAACTGCTGATTGCTTTCTATTCCTTGTTGTAAATCTAAGAACTTTTTTTTTTTACGGTGAGAACAATTATTTGCTGGAGCAGCGTCCCCAGGGGTGTGGTAGAGCCCTCATCACTGGAGGTTTTCCAGATGTGATCGGACAGGGTGCCAGATAATCTCATCTAGGTTCCCTTCTGCCATAACAGTTTGAACCTGCTGATCTTTTGAGGTCCCTTCCCATCTGGGTTGTTCTGTGACTATGGATTTTACCATAGCTCATTTGTTTTCCCTTAATCCAAGATCTCCTACCCTGTTCCTGATCAGGGTACGTGGTGCCTACGTTTTGATTGCTGACTGTGATACTATCGGCAGTGACGTTCACTGTATTATTTCAACTGGAAAATTAAAGTGTGAATAATAACTCTCCATGCTGCAGTTTTCCTTTCCCCCAGCTTTAATTAGCTGCCAGGCTTTAGTGTCTTCTAGCAGCAGTTCCCAGGCTTTGCACCAGGTTATCCTGGCAGAGGGGGACTGCTTGCAGCAGGCTCCTTTCTGCCTACCTGGCTGGACCCAGCAGACCCACACACATGCGTGGTGGCTCCGGTGTTCCCCAGGGCATGAACAAGGGCGTCCTGGAGGTGCTGGGAGGGGAAGGAGCCACACGCTGTCAGTAGGTACACTGGGGGAGCACATCAGTGATGCGTGGGTATTCTCCCAGCCTAGTGCCTGGTCCCTGCAGCTGGGGAGCCAGGCTCCTCCAGGGGGGTGACAAGCAGGAGGAATTGCCCTGCTGGGTTGCAGAGGCTGTGTAGTGTGGGATCCTGTTCACTTCTGCCACGAGCAAGGTGGAAGTACACAGACTGCAGAGCAGTACCTTCTGCTGTGGCACTGAGGTCTTTCCCATGTCCAAGAACCAGGTTCACCAGAGCCTGAGCAGGCAAGTGAAGGTTGCATTTTCCTCTGCTGTGCCCATTTCTTTGAGTGTGTTTACTGAGAGGGAAGTGTTAGACATTTCACCGCTCCCGTGATTTGGAGTGGAAAGAGTGGAAGAGTATCCCCATCAGAGATGGGTGTACTCAGGCCAGTGTATAACAAACCTTGTCTGCCAGATGTTTTGCTTTTCTCAAAAGGTACTAAGACCGACCAACCAAGCAACAAACATGCTTATTTTTGCAGACTGCTTCGGGAGAGAATTTACCTCCTGGTCCCTTAGGCAGTCCTTGCCGTGCATCTGTGAGGAAAAAGATGTGAGATGCTGATGAGTTTGTTGCATCCTGGCTGGACAGGAGGCTGCAATAGGAATGTATGTATGCTGGACGTGTCTGGCATGACCAGGCAATGGTTGTGGCACAAGGCAGGAGGTGGGCAGCGTGACTCCTAGGCTCAGCTGTCTCCAGTTGTGCCTCTCATGAGCAGTGCTCTCCTGCTGTGCTCAGGGAGCCTCCTCCCTTCCCCAGCCTTCGCACAGATGCTCACACTTCTGTGAAGAGAGGCAGTGGGGCTGCTTTAAATCTGTGCACTACGATCCAGAGGGAGCATAAGGAAGAACAACTTTGCACACCGTGTGAGACTTGGCCAGCTCTGGTTCCCAGGGTGCCACAGCACAAAATCCCATTTAATTTAGCCTCCTACATTTTTCTTCCATCCTGTTGCCCCTCCATTAGTTTAATAACAGTCATCCTCAGGCTCCTGTAATAATAAATCCCCCGTAATGAAATCCATGGCATACCCTCCCTCCAGGCCATTTATATATAAGCAGGCTTTTTTGGTGTAAAGCTAAATTGTGCCCATTCAGCAACTGGGTTCAAAATCCTCAGCTCTCAATAAAAAGGCCTCTTGAGCTAGAATAATATTTCCTTTGGTGATCAGCGCTGTGTTGATTTGAAACCCCTGAAGAGCAGTGCTGATCTGTGACAGTCTGATGCAGCCCTGGTGGGGGGAGCTGGCAGGAGCAGATAGCTGAGCTCCAACAGATGCAGCAACATTGGAAAGGGAGCTTGGAAACGCAGTCCCAGCCTGGCCAGTAGATGGTAGTGGCACACACAGAGCTGACAAAAAACTGTCTGAAAGTCACAGGGATCTGCTCTGGATCCTTCTGAAGATTAATTAAATGGGTAGCAAAACTCCCAGCTTTCAGGACTCTGCAAATAGCGGTGGCACATAAACCTGGCTGCTGCAAAGCTGTTCTATGAGAGCTTTTCAAATCCCAAAGCTCATTCTCAGAAACTTGAAAGGAACGCATCAAGATGCTCAGAATGGGGGCAACGCAAGACTTTTTGCTGGTGGGTGGGTCTGGTTTTGTTTGGGGAGTGATGGAGAAAAGCCACCTGGGCTCCTGAGTATTAAAGAAATCAGTAAATATGTCTTTGTGGTATGTTTTGGGTTTGATCCTTTTGATGGAAAAGTAATTCACTGAAAATGCTAAAGCTGGGTTTCTTTACAGTAAATGGATTTGTTTTAATGCTTTACTGCTTGACTGTTTTGATGCAGGATTTTACTTACTAGCTTATGTAGGAAAAGGAAAGTGAAGGTATAAACAGACACTTTAAATCCATTGCATAAGTAACCACTGCACTGTTGCAAGCAGATTTTTTTCTTCCATTTCTCAACTAATTCTCCAAGTTGCTCACACCTTAGGAGTTGCTGATCCCTTTCCATACCCATTATCTTTATACAGCATGACAGTGATTTGGATTCTGATTTTAGAAACTGAACTATTAAGAAGAGCATTGAGGAAAATTTTCAATAAAGTTCCACTTCCATGCCTGTTTTTATAATCTCGTTTCCTTGTGCTGCAGCTCTCCTCTCCTTGATCCTTCAGTGACAAAGCAAATACGGGTGGCTGAGGCAATCAGCTAGACTCAGCGTGCTGGAGTGCTTGCAAGTAGCACTGCGGTAATTTATAACCTGGTTCTGAACTGCAATCGTTTCCAGAAGCGTAGACTTAGATACTAGCGAAAACGCTTCTACTGCTGTTTCCTGTATTTCTGATGCTTGCTTCTGTAGGCTGGGTTGTTGCTCGTGGGTAAATCTCCACTCTGGTTCTCAGAAATAAATGCTTCAAACCTTACTTTTAGTAGAACAGCAGCTAAACCTGTAGATGCAAGATTAATCTTGGGCTAAAAGTTAGGTTTCCCTGCATGCTAGCAGAGGGAAATACGGAAGATGTTCCCTGAATCAGGCCCACATAGAGCCACCTACCTGCCTGCTTCCCCAGGGAGGCCAGCCCCTGGCTACACCAGGCCATCCACAACTGGGTTAGGCAGCAGAAGGCAATTGCTCTGGCAAATGCAGGCATCTCAGACCACAGTGACACAGTCATCTGGAAATTAAAACCCTCCCTCTACCTTTTCAGGTTTTTCACACGTGGATGTTCATATTAAGAAATGAAAAGGTGCCACTTACTCTGCACACACACACACATGTACGTTCCTTTTGTGAAGCTATTTATTCAGGCCATTTGTTCCAAAGCATGATCTTAGGACTTTGAAACCGATAATAGCCTGATGAAATCTGCTCTGCCACTTCCTCCTGCCATAAACTTTGTGTGCATTGTAGGTGAGAAGCCCCTGAAAAGTCCTTGCTGGAAGCCAAGAGCAGGCATGCGCAGAGCTGATAAAAGCTATAGGAAAAACAGACTCGACCTAATCAGCAGCTTTGGGCTGCGTGGCTTCACTGATGCTTGGTTGGAGATTGCATCCCAGAGCTTGATGCTTCCAGGTTCACTCAGGTATGTAACCAGGATCCCTAATGCTGGATGCTGCCAATGAGCTGGGTGTGCACAAACGTTCAGCATAAAGTAAAACAATATTCTGAGTCATGTGCAGCTTACTTTGTTATGGTCCTTGCACAGGCTGCACATAATTCTGCTTTGGCTGTACTCCTTTCTTTTGGGAAGTTTCTCCTGATGCTAGCACGTTTCTCTATTATGTATCTGAAACCTCATACCTACCTAAATGCTGAGGTGACCTAAATGTATTTTCTAGTGTTTAAAACTCAGAGATATCAGAATGATTCTTTCTGAATAGATCTGAGAGAAGGTAATGTCCCTGCTGCTGCATATCATGTCCTGTTAGTCCTGTGGGATGTTGAGAGGCAAATTGAATTACTTTAAAAATTGTTTTAAAAGCAAGTACCA